AAGATTAAAATAAAGGAGAGAATCCTAGAAGCAGCAAGAGATAAGGAGACAGTCACCTACAAAGGAGTTCCCATCAGACTGTCAGCTGATTTCTCAAAAGAGACCTTACAGGCAAGAAGGGGCTGGAAAGAAGTATTCCAAGTCATGAAAAGCAAGGACCTACATCCAAGACTGCTCTATCTAGCAAATGAAGCAAAGCTTTCATTTAGAATGGCAGGGCAGATAAAGTCCTTCTCAGATAAGGTCAAATTCAAGAAGTTCATCATCACCAAGCCCTTATTATATGAAACATTAAAGGGACTTATCTAAGAAAAAGAAGATAAAAAAGATGAACAGCAAACTCACAGTTATTAACAACCTCACCTATAACAAAAACAAACTAAGAGGACAGCTAGATCAGGAGTAGAACCATAGAAATGAAGATCATATGGAGGGTTAGCAACAGGGGAGTGGGAAGAGGAGAAGGGGGGAGAAGGTACAGAAAATAAGTAGCATAGATGATAGGTAGAAAATAGATAGGGGGAGGGCAAGAATAGTATGGGAAATATAGAATCTAAAGAACTTGAAACAAGTGGTCATAAACTAAAGGGGGGAATGGTGGGGGAGGGGTGTACAGGGTGGAGGGGAATGAAGGGGGAATAGAACAATTGTAATGGCATAATTAATAAAATATATATTTTTTAAAAAGCCAATATCAACAGAATAAATATGTAATCTACAGAATGGGAGAAAATATTAGGAAATCATATATTCGATAAGGGATTAATACCAAAATATGGAGAACTCCTAAAACTCAGCAACAAAGAAACACGCAACTCCATTCAAAAATGGCCACTAGATTAAACAGACATTTCTTTAAAGAAAATATACAAATTACCAATAAATACATGAAAAGATGCTGGAGAAAATTGTTGGAGAAATATAAATCAAAAGTACAATGAGATGCCACCTCACACCCATTTTGATAGTTACTGTTAAAAACAAACAAACACAGAAAGCAACAAGAATTAGCAAGGGTGTAGAAATATTGGAACCTTTGTGCACCGATGGTGGGAATGTCAAAAGGTAGAAAATGATATATGACAGTTCCTCAAAAGCTAAAAATAAAATGACCATATTTTCAGCAACTTCATTCCCAGGTGTACATCCAAAAAAAATCGGAAGCGGGGGGATGGGAAGGTGATTTGTACAGCTGTGTCCACAACGACATTGTTCACGACAACTATAACCTAGAAGTGACCCAAGTGTCCCTCAATAGATGAATGCGTGAGCAAAACCTGATGCATCCTTTTAATGAAATATTACTGAGCCTTGAAAAGAGAGAGGATTCTGACACAGGGTACAACATAAATGAACCTAGCGGTCATTATGCTAAGTGAAATAAGCCAGTCACAAAGGGACACATACCGTGTAACTCCACTTAAAAGAGACACCTGGAGGAGTCAAATTCCTAGAAGCAGAAAGTAGAATGGTGGGTACCAGAAGCTGGGGTGGGGGGAATAGAGTTATTGTTTAATAGGAATAGAATTTCAGATTTGCAAGATGGAAAATGTTATGGAGCTCGATGGTGATGATGTCTGCAAGAACATTATGAATGTATTTTAATATACTTAAGAATGGTTAAGATGATGCATTTTATGTGTATTTCACCACAGTAAAAATACCTGAAAAAAAAACCCATATGTTGAGCAAAAGAAAGCAGACACAAGAGTACATGCTTTATGATCTCATTTATCTGAAGCTACAGAAAAAGCAATTCTAATCTAAAGTGACAGAAAACAGATAATCGGTTGCCTAGCACCAGGGATGGGGGTGGTAGATCAACCAGGAAGGAACACAAGGGAATATTTTGGAGTGATGGAAATGATCCCTGACTTGATTATGGTGGAGGATGCATGGGTATATAAATCTGCCCAAACTGATAGAAATGTACACTTAAATTGGGTGCATTGTATTGCATATAAATTACACTGCAATAACATTGATTTAAAAAAAAAAAAGCCAGTGGGGCCAGAATAGCAGGAAATTACTACTTCTGAAAGCAGGCAGAGTTCAGGAATAATTTCCCCCATGGCCAGACCAGTGCCTCTTCATCTAGATAAAGCTGACAGCAACGCCGCAGGTGAGCTCTCGGGAACAAAGTGATGCCACACAGACTGTGAAAACAGCGGTCCTCTACCGGCACGAATGATTTGCAGGTCACAGGCACACTCTGCTCACTGTAGCCAGAAAGTGCAATAAAGGCAGCAGCGCCGTGGTGACTCATCGGAGAGGCTCAGGGTGCTGTGTGTGGTTCACACCTCGGCTGCGCCACCGGGGAGGGAGGTCAGGACAGATGATGAGAAGTTCCGTAGATGGAACTTCTGTGTTTCTTCCCAGAACAATAGCAAAGCATCACTTGTTGATCCAGTTTCATCTGCGGGGAGATGTGTTTTGCCCTTTTTTGATTCTTGATGCTGAAAAGCAGACAACAATAACAAAAAAAGCGTCTGCTCCTATTGACACAGTAGTTCATTTTTACTTGAAACTAAAACCAGGAACCAAATACCCCCTTACTTCTGACTGATTACAAAGGATTCCATTCTGCTCTTAATGAGGCTTGTTTTCAGTTATACGCATCACACACTTTCACTTGAGATTTAATTCCCTCAGTTTAATTTTTTTTGTTGTAGCTCATCAGTTTGTTTAATGATAACAATTCAGGAATCTTGTTTTATTTCATGGACTCTGTTGCTTTTTAAAATATTTTATTTATTTATTTTTAGAAAGGAGAGAAGAGAGGGAGAGAAACGTCAATGTGTGGTTGCCTATCACATGCCCCCTACTGGGAACCTGGCCCACAACCAAGGCATGTGCCCTGACTGGGAATCGAACCTGTGACCACCTGGTTCACAGCCCACGCTCAATCCACTGAGCTACACCAGCCAGGGCTATTTCATAGAATCTGTTTTGATGGTTACTTTCTGCTTTTGGGAAGTGAGAGTTGTATTCTCTTTATATAGTGTGACATGGCATTTTCTTTTAAAATAAATGTTTTAACAAAAAATGTATCAGTCTAAGGAAAAATATCACTGGTGGGCAATAAGCAGGTCAGGCAAATGTTGTGGTGGGATCACTCAAACGTCTGAAATCTGGAAAGGCAGATCCCTTTTCAGCTCCCCTGTTCTATTGTTCATTGAGAGGGAGGGAGAGAAACATCAATGTGTGGTTGCCTCTCACATGCCCCCTACTGGGGACCTGGCCTGCAACCCAGACATGTGCCCTGACTGGGAATTGAACTGGCGACCCTTTGCTTCACAGGCCTGTGCTCAATCCACTGAGCTACACCAGCCGGGGCCCATTTTTTAAAATCTTTTATACCTATCTTCACTGCACCTTTTCTAGGTGTAGATATGTTTAGACCCATAAATACCATTGTGCCGCAGTTGCCTACAGCATTCAGTGCAGTAACATGCTGTACAGGCTTGTAGCCTAGGAGCAATAGGCTATCTGCCACACAGCCTAATGTGTGTGTAGCAGGCTGTACCATCCAGGTTTGTGTGAGTGCACCCTGTGAAGCTCACACAATGATGAAATCGCCTAAAGATGCATTTCTCAGAGCATACCCCCTCCCTGAAGTGAGGCATGACTCTAATTGCCTATTGACGTCACGACGTAAAGCTTGTTGGCAATTTAATATGTCCAAATGTGTTCACAGCTCCCTAATATGTTCCTCCAATTTCTCCCCACATTTGTGAATGAAGCCACTATGGACCCAGCTGCACCATCCAAAAACCTTGTGGTTATCCTTGACTCCTTCCTTTTTCTCTCACCCCACATCCAGTCCAATTGTGAATCTCTCTCCTCTACCTTAAAAAGAAAATCCTACTCTGATTATTTCTCACTACCCCCTCACTGAGCATACTAGCCCAAATCACCACTATTTCTTATTTAGATACTTGCAATAGCTTCCTAACGAGCTTTCCTGCTCCTGTCTGATCTTACCGCTTCATAGTCTATTCTCTAAACAGCCACCAGAGTGATCTTTGCAAAACATAAGCAGATATACTCACATCCCTGCTCCCAATTCTCTAGCAGCTTCCAACACACTTAGAATAAAATCCAAATTCCTTATTAAGACCTTCTAACAACTGGGCTCCTACCACCTGGCCAATCCCATTCCCTTCCGCTACCATCTCTGACACGGCACGGCAGCCACGCTGTTTTCCCAGACACCAGGCACAAGCCTTTCTAATGCCATTTGCAGGAGTGCTCGCCCTCTGGGGAGTCACCTTGGTTCACCCCATAACTTCATTCAGTTTGCTGCTCAATGTCCTCTCCTCAGGGGACATTGACCCTGACCATCCTATTGTCCCCGTCACTCTCTGTCCCTTTCCCTGCTTAAAATAAAGCAGGGAAAAATATCCCGTGTTTTTCCGCCCTCAACACACTCTGCCCGAGCCAGTATTTTAGTTACTTAGTTCACTAGTTACTGACTTGCCCGCCAAAACAGAAGCGTCATTAGACCAGGGACTTCTTTACCTTCGCATCCCCAATGCCTAGAACTGGGCCTGGCACACAGGAGTCCTTCGAAAATATGCTCTGAATGAATGAGTGACTTGGCAATGGCAACCGGTGCAAATAGGTGCCTACCCAGTAGCTTCCCACGGCCACCTGCCCCCACGCCCTTTTCAACTCCAGGGCGCCAGGGGTACCTCTCGCGGTTGAGGGAGTCTCAGCTACTGTCGTCCTCCCGCCCAGGGGGGGAGTCCAGGCTCAGCGTTCCGGGAGCAGGATGGAGCCGCGGCCAGGCGTTCCTCTCTATGGTCCCAGTCCCCAAGCCCCTCCTCCCGGGCCCCCGGCGAGCCTCTATGGTTCTTCCTGTCATTAGTCGGGAGGGGGCGCTGTGCGCAGGCGCGAGGTGACGCCGCGGCAGGGCCGGAAGGAGCGCAGCTGGGGCCTCAGCGGCGGCGACGGAGCTGTTGGCCAGGGCTTCTTGAGACTAAAAGCCCCGGCGACAGAAGGGGACAGAAGCCGCCAAGCCCGGCTCGCGAACTGGAGAGTTGAGTGGAGAGTAAGTGTCGGCCGCGGGGCGCGCCCCGCTCCTCCGGGAGGCGAGTGGCGTCTCCGCCCGGCGCCTCCCTCAGTCCGGGGTCGGGGCGGGGGCCTTGGCCGTGAGGGGCGGTGGGGGCGCGGGCCGGCCGGCCGGAGCAGTAGGGCGGGCCGGGAGGCATGCGCGACAAAGGCGCGCGCGGCCGGCCGACCCTCCCCCGCTGTCCGCACTTCGGGAAGTTTCGCGGGCCGGTCCGGCCGCCTGCAGCGCGAGGGCGAAAGCTGCGAAAGTCCGAGTTTGCAGGACGACACCGCCCGGGAGGCGGCGTCAGCGCGGGGGGCGATGCGCTATGACTTTGAACTCCGGCGGCCTCGTCCCGGGGGCTGACGGGCCGCAGCCCTGCCGCCGCCGACTCCGCTGAGGGGGGGGAGGGGGGCGGTGCAGGTGCGCGCGAGCCCCTGCGGCACGGACGCGGCGTTCCCCACGCCAGTGCTGCGGTTCTGGGCAGCGAACGACTGCGACCCTCACGCGCGGCTGGGGCCCGAGCGCTGCGCAACGCGGGTCCCAAACTTCGGGCCACTTCAGGGCCGGGACGCGCCGCCCAGAGTGCCCGCAGGGCCGGTTCAGTTTGTAGGGGCGCTCCCCGCGCGCACCGGCCAAGGGCCCTGCGGACCACTCAGTGCGCGGGGACAGTTGCCCCGGAGGGCGCGCCCCAGGCATGCTGCCGTAGGAAGGAGACCGTTCCCCCGCGCGGGGAGGGCCGGGGAGACTTGAGAGCGGACCCCGACTCCGAGACCGGGTCTGGAGGAGGACACTCGGGACTGGCCCGGCTCTGTTTGCGTCCGAGCGAATGCTCGCGGCCGGGGGTGGGGAGGGGTTGGACTTGAGGAAGTAGCTGCAGACTCAGGCTTTTGATTTTTACCCCGAGGGCTGGCCGCAGCCGGGGAGGGAGCCCTGCAGCCCCAGAGTCCGCGGAGTGGGGATGGGAGTCGAGGAGACAAAGTTTCTGAACTGGGATGGCAGAGAGAATCTGTGTCCGTTACCGCCGGTGGCTACTCTTTAATTAATGAGTGTTTGCTCTGTTCTAGCCTGTGCAGATTTTCACATACTTCCTAACTGATCGTACACCTACCTCCCCGTGCTGTTTTGTCTTCATTGCTGATAACAGTGATAAGCACAGAACGTGACGCTGTGTACCAGACACTGTTCTAGGCGTTTTCTACAGGCTAACTCTTAATCCTCAGTGATGTGGGTTTTGGTATTTTTTTTTCTTTTGGGGGGTTTTGGTATTTTTTAAAAGGAAGAAAATGTACTACAAAACAGCATACCTAATCACAAAGCTAACAAGGGCCTGAGCTAGGACGTGAACTCAGTTTGCTTCCAGAGTTCATGTTCCTAATCACTCTACTCTAGTACTGTGAGTATTTATGCAAAAAACCTCGTAGTGAGCATTAACTTTGTGCCAGGCCACGTGCAAGTCCTTGGCTCAGGGGAATGAATAAGATGTGGTGCCCATTTCTTCGTTGAACTTGTTTTAGTGCAGGAGAGGAACATTAGACACAGCTGTCCGAGTAATTGTAGATGACTCTTTTGCCAAGTCCTTGGAAGGAGTGAGAGATGTGTGACTAAACACTAGAGGTGGTCAGGAAAGGCCTCTGTCTGAGGAAGTGACATTCAAGACAGAGCGAAGGATGATGCAGTTCATTTGGTCCTGGTCAGGCAATAACCCAGCCAGAGAAAAGAGCAAGAAGTGGAAGGAAGGAGCATGCCATGTTCCAGAAACAGCCATTATTGCTGCGGAATGATGAACTGGCCAGAGGCAGGAGGTGAGGCTGGCTGTGCCAGCAGGGGTCCTGGTGCGACAGGCTCTGTTCTACCAGGGTGAGATTTGTGGTTCAGGGAAACTGACTCTGGGGCTGTGTTAAAACATGGCAGGGTAGAACCTGTAGGCAGTGTTGGGGTGGGAGGGACAGGGTGTCACGGGCTCACCTAGTATTCAGCTCTAAAAAAGTCCTTGAAAACGTTGATTCCCATCCCTCATTCCCACCTTGTAGTCCAGAATGTGCTTTACTGAGCTGTCCTGGTTTCTGAACCAGTGCTCAGGTGACAGTTAAGGGAAATCTTCATGTTATATGTTAAACTCTTCAGCCTACCCAGAGAAGATTTTGAGTTTAATTTCTGGATTAAAACCTCTTCTGTTATAAAAAAGAAAACAAAACTAATTATAGGGTTTTTAGAGCTCTTTTACACTCCAGACTAATTGTTTGCATAATTATTTCTAATTATGCATGGTGGTATACTCTGGTTTCTCTTCAGGTAGTGTAAATCTTTCGCCTTAATTATGGATGGTGTTTTACCTTAGTTCTTTCATTTTTGTCAATGTATTTAATACTCACTGCACTTTCTTATTCTGAGTTCCTCACCTGCCTTGTTCTTAATAGTATCACCATCCTTCAGTCACCTGATTTCAACATCTAGGTCACCTTTGACTTTTTTTTTCTGTGCCTTGATGACTGATTACATACAAAAATCCCATTGAACCTAATTCTGTAGTCAGTATCGTGTATCTTTTTCCTCCCCTGCTTACTATTAGCTCTAGTGCAGACTTCGCTAGCCCTTAATCTCTGGGGGTCCTGCCACCAGATGTCTTCTACAGTCTGTCTTATGTATTGCAGCTAGGTTGATTTTCCTAAAGCATAACTCAGCATTCCTTCCCATTGAATGGAAAATAAAATCGGAGCGCTTGCATCAGCTAGCTATTGATAATAGCAAGCCACCCTCACACTTAGAGACTTAGTGCAACACAACAGTTTTAGTTGTTGACAATTTTGTGAGTCAGGAGGTTGGGAAGGGCTCCCCTGGGCAATTTTTTTCTGATTCTCATGCCCTCCCACAGGGTGGCTGGGGCTGCAGGTCCCACTTGCAGAATGGCTTCTGTACTCCCAAGCCTTGTGTCAGACTGCTGGAAGGCGGGGCTCAGCTGGCCTTGCCCCGTCCGGGTACTGGGTGCTGGGTGCTGGGTCGGGGCTTTCCATGTGGTCTTTCCTGAGGTAGAAGCCGCTGCCTCTCCTAAAGGCTAAGCCTGGAGCTGGCACTACATTCAGTTTAACGAAACACTGCCACCTCTGCCAGATGTTCCTGGACTGCCTGCCTCTCCCCAACTGGAGTAGTCTTTCTGCTGCACTAACGGCCTTCTACTTCTTAGTGTGCTTAATTGTATGCATATTTTCTCTCATTGATGAGACTCCGCGTTTTTTGAGGCAAGATCCAAATTGGATTTTCTTTGTATTTATTCACCATGATGTATAACACATTGTTTACACCCATGACAAATCCACAATAAATATTTGTTGAATTCTTTTCATGTATTTTAATTTTTTAAAAGATTTTATTTATTATTTTTAGAAAGGGGAAGGGAAGGGAAGGAGAAAGGAAGAGGAACATCACTGTGTGGTAGCCTCTCGCATACTCCCTACTGGGGACCTGGCCTGCAACCCAGGCATGTTCCCTGACTGGGAGTTGAACCAGTAACCCTTTGGTTTGCAGGCGGGTACTCAATCCACTGAGCCACACCAGCCAGGGGTAATAATATATTTTAATTTTTTTTAAGTGTTAATGTAACGAATACCAATTTAGTATAAAAAATTAGAAAATATAAGGAAGCAGAAATGAATGACCTTAAACTTACTACTTCGAAATAGCCATTATTAACTTTTGTTGTGTTGATTTAATATTGATTAAATATTAGTATATTTAAATATACTAATGGAAATCCAAATGCTGGTTAAGATGAGAAACTAGAATTTGAATAAGAAGCAAAAATTATGTATAGACACTTGAAAAATCTGTGAGGAAGAAGCCTTGTGGGGGCTGATATGATGGGCATGTCAGCTTCTCCCAGCCTGTGCTTGACTCTCCTTTGTTCACCTTTCCCTGTGGTGTTCATAGATTAACTCATTAATTTGAAACATCTTTTATTGCCCCAGACTCTGTTTGCAGAAGTGACAGGCATATTTATGGAGCTGACTTTGAACAGCAGGAGCACTGCAGAACCCCAGGACCGTGCGGGATTGTACTAGGAACGTGTGGAAGGAAACATGGAGGAGAAACATGAATAGAAGGATGAGAAGAAAGTTACTGTTAGGCCCATCAGTCTCTGGTCATAGGAAGCAAAGATGCAATTCTGAAAGCCAGAAAATGGCATGAGGGAACCATGGATGATTCCTTTCTTTTTTTCTGACTTTTTTTTTGTTTGTTTCGTTTCCAAACTTTCTGTGACAAGCCATACTTTATAACCAAAGAAAACCCTGATATACTGAGTGTTGTCACTTAAGCCATTTTACCTGACTCGGGTTATATATGGTTGTGATTTACACCTCCAGTCTCTGACAGTGAGTGATGCATTTGGAGCCACTCTGTATATCAACTCTGAGACACTGGAAATACAGCTATGAGTTAAACACAGTCAAGGGCATAGGGAGAAGACAATTCCAATGTGAACTCCTTCTCATGTGTTGGTTCATCCATAAAAGGAAGGACAGTTGTTGAAGTGGAGGAGAACGTAAAAGAACGGTCATCTAATTTTCTTAAATTTTTACAATGTAGTACTTCTACTGAAGATTCTCCAGAGTTATGAAGTGAAAAATGTGCTAATTTTTAGTTTTATTTTGGAAACATTAACTGATATTTGACTAGAAACTGTAGTCATTAACATACCTATAACTCTTACAATAAAGAGAAGAGGTATAAGAACTGACTTAACCTTTCTTGGGTGGCATTGCAATTTCTGAACTTCACTTTTTTTAGCTATTCTCTTCAGTTGTCTGATCAAGAAGTGAATAGCTTCTTGCTACTTCCAGAGGGAAAATGAAGTTTCTTTTATAGAAGGAAGGAAGCGCTACTGTGAATAGTTACAATACTAATGAAAAGTAAGTTGTAAGAGAGAAATACAGTCCTCCCTCTCGTTTTGCTGTATTATTAACTTATTATTAATAAACACTACATCATCTACTATGTACTTGTGGTAAAGCTCTTTGTATTTAATCGTCAACACTGCCTTATAAGAATAGCTCTTTTTGTCTCACAGATAATAATGATGTCACACTGTGCCTTAGCACTTGCTGTACACCAGACACTGTGCTAAAAACTTTATACATACTTAACATGATTAAATTTTACAGTGACTGTTCTCATTTTGCAAATGGAAGAACTCCGAGGCCCAGGAGATTAAGCAATTTACAAGCTTACTGATTCACTAAGTGGTGGAGCCGGGTTCACACCTAAGCAGTCTGTTAGGAAGCCCAGACGAGCCGGCTGAATGTCAGAGGGTTGAGGGACTGCAGAGAAACTAGTCAGAGGTGGAAGCTCCACGATCAGTCTCTCTCACCGCAGCTTCTGGCCACTGTGTGTGCATGAGAAATCTTGCTTTTAAAGCACTGCTGCTAACTGGCTTAATTACAAGATTGACATTCTAACTAAATTAGGTATAAAATAAATCATATTTCCTTTTGATTGCCAATGTAAAATTGAAGGAACCTAGTTGTGATAAAATAAGAAATAAGACACTTGGCTGTCGTAGTTCAAAATACCTTAAAAAATATTTGAAAAAAACGTAGCAAAGTACTGGAAGTCACAGTTTATAAGTCATATTACTGTTACATCAAGTGAGAGACCCAAACTTATTCTTGGATTTGTAATTTTTTGCATTTGCGATATCTTCGCCTATTTATAGATACCAGAAAATTCTGTTGTAAAACAATCTCGATACACAACTTTGTATTCTCTAAGTTTGAAAAATGCTGATATTATTTGGCTATTAACTGTAGACAGTTAATGGGAAACCAGGGTCTGGAGCTTACCTCTTCCAAAGCACATGATTTCTCCCAGGAAAGCAAAGAAAACTTTGCTTTTCATATATATATATAAAAATAAATTGATTATGCCATTAGAGTTGTCCTGTTCTCCCCCTTCATTTCCCTCCACCCTGCACACCCCCTCCCCCACCATTCCCACACTTTAATGTCCACGTGTCTTAAGTTCTTTAGATTCTATATTTCCCATACTATTCTTGCCCTCCCCCCTGTCTATTTTCTACCTACCATCTATGCTACTTATTCTCTGTACCTTCTCCTCCCACTCCCCTGTTGCTATCCCTCCATGTGATCTCCATTTCTGTGGTTCCGCTCCTGATCTAGCTGTCCTCTTAGTTTGCTTTTGTTTTAGGTGTGGTTCTTAATAACTGTGAGTTTGCTGTCCTTTCACTGTTTATATTTTTTAGCTTCTTTTTCTTGGATAAGTCCCTTTAATATTTCATATAATAAGGGCTTGGTGATGATGAACTCCTTGAACTTGACCTTATCTGAGAAGCACTTTATCTGCCCTGCCATTCTAAATGAAAACTTTGCTTCATTTGCTAGATAGAGCAGTCTTGGATGTAGGTCCTTGCTTTTCATGACTTGGAATACTTTCCAGCCCCTTCTTGCCTGTAAGGTCTCTTTTGAGAAATCTGCTGACAGTCTGATGGGAGCTTCTTTGTAGGTGACTGTCCCCTTATCTCTTGCTGCTTCTAGGATTCTCTCCTTCATTTTAATCTTGGCTAATGTAATGATGATGTGCCTTGGTGTGTTCCTTCTTGGGTCCAACTTCTTTGGGACTCTCTGAGCTTCCTGGATTTCCTGGAAGTCTATTTCCTTTGCAAGATTGAGGAAGTTCTCCTTTATTATTTGTTCAAATAAGTTTTGCACTCGTGGCTGTTCCTCTTCCCCTTCTGATATGCCTATAATTCGGATGTTGGAATGTTTAAAGATGTCCTGGAGGTTCCTAAGCCTCTCCTCATTTTTTTGAATTCTTGTTTCTTCATTCTTTTCTGTTTGGTCAGTTTTTTCTTCCTTCTGGTCCACTCCCTTGATTTTAGTCCCAGTTTCCTTTCCATCACTATTGGTTTCCTGTTCATTTCCCTTCATTTCAATTAGTTTAGCCTTCATATGTCCCTGTAATTTGTGACTAAAATCAACCAGTTCTGTGAGCATCCTGATCACCAGTGTTTTGAACTGTGCATCTGAAAGTTTGGCTATTTCTTCATCGCTTAGAGTTATTGGCTCTGGGGCTTTGAGTTCTTAGCCATAACGTTCTGGTCTGTTTGTGCCTGTTTCATCGGAGGAGCAGAGCTCTAGGTGTTCACTAGGGCGGGGCAACTCAGTCGCAGGGTTGTGACGCTGTATGTGGGGGCGGGGTCAGAGGGGAAATGGCGTCTGGTCTGCTCCCTCGCGCCGCTGCGGCCTGTGTGGTCCATCTCACTGCTCGCTTCTTTGCCTGGCTTATCGGTCTGGCTGAACGGTTGGTTGTTGTCAGACTTCTGTATAGTTCAATTTTCTGTTTTGGTTGTGTTTTTGTTGCTAAAACTTTGTTGTCTTTAACTTGGTTGTGCGAGGAAACACTGTTTTTCCACCTACGCCTCCATCTTGGCTGGAAATCCAGATTTTTTTAAAGATGAAGAAAAATGTTGAGTAGGTAAGTTAAAGATTGAAACTTAGAACTAGAGAGGACCTGTAACAGGTATAATTGTATTCTTTTAGTTCTTAGTTATTGATTTTTATATAATTTTAATCAAACTAACGCAGGAAAGTGGTTCAGTATCAAACTACAGAAAGAATTAAAAGCAATAATTATCTCCTGATTTCCAGCAACTGTTTTACACAGGCAACCGACCACTTTCCCCCCCAACTCGTTTCCTCTCACGTCCCCATTGTGAAATACAATACACATGAAGAAGTTTCACCCTGAACAATAAAGTTTAGATGTATGCCTAAATGTTATCTCAGTGGAGTCATTCAACATAAATACTTTTATATCTGGATTCCTTCACTCAGTCATTATGTTTTAATATATATCCAAGCTGTATGTGACTGTGATGGCTTTTTTTTGCCCTGTCGGTTTTAATTGTGTGAACATACCCTAGTGTATTTGTCCATTCTGTCATTGACTTGTGGCCCTGTCCGTTTTTGGCTCGTAGAATTAACGTTCCTGTGAGCATCCTGTGCATAGACCTGGTTCATATAAGCATGCTTTTCTGTACCACAGATCTCTGGCAGTAGATTGTTGTGTCTTTATGGGATATGTGTCTTCCACTCTAATTGATCAAGCATCAAGATTTCTGCACGGTCATGTTACCAGTTTACATTCCCACCAACAATGCATGAGGGTGCCCTTTTTCTCCATGTCCTCACCAATACTTACATCTTGTCTTTTTAATAGTAGCCATTCTGACAGGTATGAGGTAGTAATTTGCTTTTGATTTGCATTTCTCTGGATTGCAAGTTATTTGTGGTTTTTTTGATAGTTATATGAGTTCTTTGTGTATTTTGGAGTTTAACCCCTTATCAGATGATTTGCAAATGTTTCTTCCCATTCTATAGGTTACCATAATTGAGTTTTTAAATGTACTTTTTGTTTATGTCCTGTTATTTGATCTTTTATATTTCTTATATGTTCTTTTGTAGAATTGGTTTTTTATTATTTCATTTTTTTTCTTTTACTAGCTTTTTAGTAATGCAGTCACTTAGGTGTTTGGGTTTTTTTAAGTGGTATTTTCACCATAAGCTTAGAGTGCTGCTACCTTGACCAGATATGTGGGAAGAGTTTTGATATTTTCTTTTTTATTATTTTTTACATTCAATGAGAATTTTTATTTAAATTATCCACACAACAGCATTATAATACTTTATAAAAGTACTAAGTTTTAGGCTGCCAGTGTTTTTTTCGGTCTTAATGTTCCTTTTGTTCTTACTTTTCAGAGCTTTTGGAACAGACCGTCACCATGTTTAGATCTTAGCAAGCGCCCGTGTGTGTGCCCGAGTCTGAAAATGGCAGAGGGAAGCAGCAATGAAGAGGTGATTCACCTGAACAACTTTCACTGCCACCAGGGACAAGGTAGGTGTTGGTTCTTCTTTTCATCTTGCTTTTCCCTTTAGTATAATCCAGTTATATTTTCTTTTCTATTTTTTAAAGAACTTATTTATTTATTTGTAGGGGGAGAGAGAGGGAGAGAAACATCAATGTGTGGTTGTCTCTTGTGCGCCCCCCAGTTGGGGATCTGGCCGGCAACCCAGGCATGTGCCCCCACTGGGAATCCAACCTGCAATCCTTTGGTTCGCAGGCCTGTGCTCAGTTCACTGAGCCACACCAGCCAGGGCCAGTTATATCTTCTTTGAAATGAATCTGTTTTGCACCATGCAGAAAACACAGTTGTGCCATTTGTAGGCCTTAGAGTATCAGGTGTAAAGGGACTCATCAGATTAGAATTTTGTGTCAGATAGTGACGCTTGCTGGTGTGACGGGGGTTTAAGAATCTTTCATCATAAGTAGATTAACAATCTATGACTTAGCAGGGTGAAAAGAGCTGTGATCATGCAGTCCTTGTGTCTTCAGAGACTGGAGTATGACAACAGTGGCAGTTCTCTGTTTTTGGAGGAGTGGTAACTATAGGGAAGTAGTCCTCCAGACCTGTATGGTCTAAAAGTACTAAGGCTGCTGCTAAACCACTTCGCCCCCTCATATGATGCCTAATTACATTTTTGCCAGAAGATTGTGGTTTAGCCTTACAGGAAATTTCAGCACATGTATTCTTCTGTCTTACAGTTTTTTAAATTTGGGGAAATTCATTGATTCATAAAGGAAGCTTGCATTTCTATGACTTCATTCTTAAATGCGTATTTAAGAAATACGCATTTCTTAATCTACAAGGAAATTTCCTACCAAATCCTAATTCTTGTTTATACATAACTAAATGAAAAAAATTTATGCTAATGAGTAGGAAAAGATAAATTTCTTGCTAGTATATGGAAGAGATTGTACTGTTTTTTCATGTGTGTTTTTATTGATAATATTTTGTGCTTATGAAGATGATTTTTTCCAGCAGAGGGTAAATTATATATATTTGGCTTTTAGAGCATTTAAAATGGAGCAAATTTTATTAAGCACATAAGTTGAGGATAATAAGTAAAATTGCTTAAGCTATGCAAATTAAGAGTACTACAAAGAAATACTGATTTTTTTTTAAGGATTTCATTATTGTACTCTAACTCGGTGGTGATTGAACCTATAATTTATTGTGATTAAGAAAGTTTTAAATTTTAGCTATAATTTGTATATATGATCATTTCCAAATTTTCTGAACATGTAAAAATTAACATAGTTATTTTAAAGATCTAATTGGTTTTATTAAGTAATTCATGAATTGGGCAGCTTCTTGTCTAGCAACTAGAAGGGTGCCCCTTGGAGGTGTATGTTCCTGTTACACAAGTTTTATATATCCTACACCTGTGATGATTTCTTTTTAGGCATACAGAGTTGTTTTGTTTTTATTAGCTATACTAATTTTATTATGCCATCCCCTGTAGGCTTTTTGTAATTTATATACAATGAACTCATATATTTTAAGTGTATATTTCAGTGAATTTTGAAAAATGAATACACCCTTATACCACCACTTCAATTATGATGTAGAACATCTCTATCAGCCCAGAAAGATTCCTTCGTGCCTCTTTGCAGTCAGTCTTCACCCTACTCCATTCATAAGGAGCTCACTGATCCGCCTTTGGTCACCATTCACTTCCCTGTACGTGGAAGCGTGCAGTGCATCCTCTTTGTGCCTGAATTCTCCTGCTCAGCATCATTTTGAAATTCGTCCATGTTGTTGCATGGATTTAATATAAATAATTCAGCCCTTTTTAATTGCTGAATAACATTCACCTAGAATTCTATACCCAGTGAAAATAGGCTTAAAAATTAAGATAAAATAAAGGTTAAAAGAGTAGGAATGGAAAAGGTATACTATGCAGATAGTAGCTAAAAAAAAAGAGTATGTATGTGTATATATTATCAGATAAAATAGACACTCTAGCCAGAAGTATTAATAAAGATTTTATAATGATAAAAGGAGTAGTGCACTGGAAAGTTAAAGTAATTTTAATCCCTGCACACTTAGTAACATGGTATCAAAATATACAAAGCAAAAATGGCAGAACTAAAAGAAGAAATGAACAAATTCACAATCATATTGGAAGATTTTAACATGTTCCTCTCTATAACTGAGAGAGCAATCACATACAAACATTTGTATGACTATAGAATATTGAGGAACACGGTCAGTGAATGACATAATAGACATGTGATATATTATACCCAATGTATCGATCAAAATTGACCATATTTTGAACCACAAAACAAGTTTCAAGTTTCAGAGGATTGAAATCATATAGATTATGTTCTCTAACCACATTGGAATTAAGCCATAAATCAATTACAGAAATATAATTAGAAAAATTCCTATATGTGTGGAAAATAGGAATGCCTTTCAGAATAATCCATAGTTCAAAGAAATCACAATGAGCTCCGGCTGCTGTGGCTCAGATGGTTGGAGCATCATCCAGAGGACCAAGAGGCCATGGGTTCAGTTCCCGGTCAGGGCACATACCCAGGTAGCACCTTCCATCACAGTTGGGGACATACGAGAAGGAAACCAATTAATGTCTGTCTGGCGCACACATGCTCTTTCTCTTCCTTCTTCCCCCTTCCTCTCTCTCTAAAAGTAATTTAAAAATTGTCCTTGGTTAAGAATTAAAAAAAAATCAATTAAAAATTGGAAAAAAATTTTGAACTTCATGATAATGAAAATATAATCTGTTGAAGCTTATGAGATGCATCTAATGTCATGTTTGGAAGAAAACTTATATGTGTAGTAGCCTTGGCTGGTGTGGCTCAGTGGATTGAGTGCTGGCCTGCGAACCGAAGGGTCGCTGGTTCAGTTCCCAGTTAGGGCACGTGCCTGGGTCAAAAGGGCCAGGTCCCCCGTGTGGGGCATCCAAGAGGCAGCCACACATTGATGTTTCGCTCCCTTCTTTCTCCTTCCCTTCCCCTCTCTCTAAAAATGAATATAAAAAATTTTAAAAGTCTAGTATTCTGCGGCATGAACTAGGCCACTCACTTCTGGCTGGCGGCTCTCTCTTGCAGGCTGGGTTTGAGCCTTCTCTGCTCAGCTAGAGCTCTGGCCATCTATTTGAATCTCTTGCCAGCTCTTGTGTTCGTTCCTCTTTGTGTTCTTTAGAGGTTATACTCTAAGTTCCTTTGCTACCATTTTAGTGGGGCTTCAGGAAGTGGTGATGATAATCACTTGAATTCATTCTCCCAGATTTAACCAGAAGTCCTATATCATGTGCTTCCCAGACCCTCGGTTCAGTTAGTTGTTAGATTTATCGTTCTCCTGTGGTGGTGGCAGTGGACTTGAAATCAGGCAACCTTACTGCACGTCAAGTGCTATAATAAACAGGCATTTATGTGACCTCTCTTAACTAATGCAATTACTTGAGGTGGGCACCATTGTTAATTTTTTTGTAATGTTGAGGAAACATGTTTAAAAGTTAGATAACAGTCACATGTTGCTGGCATATGGTAGAACTGAGGTTTGAACCTGGGCAGTCCGTTCTTAGAACACATAGATTTAGCTGGTTTAAATGGCCATCCTTGGCATTACCGCAGCTCTGTTGCAGGACTGAAATGAGATAGTTGCTTTTTGATTGTTTTTCAGATGGTTTGGTGCCATAAAAATACGAGGTGGGGCAACAGTAGGTTTACAGTTACTCTGTAACTATAATGTATGGAAAATATACAAGAATAAACCCTTTTGTGTACTCACCACTGTAAGCCTACTTTTGCTATACTCTGTATGTGAGGCCTTAACCTGGAGAAAGAAATTAGACATTTAATGGAGGAATTTCGAAATTTGTAAGGTGAGGCCTCTTATTTGTTCCTTTTTTATTTTTAAATGTTTTTTTCTAGGACAGTTAAAGCTAAAAGCTTTAACAGTTTTGTGGACAGGGAAAAATAAGTTTATTTTATTCAATAATTCACATCCAACAAGATCTATTTTCAAACAAATTAAAGGAATTAGAGACCTCAAACAGAATTACTATATCCAGATGTTAGTTTAGCTCTAATTATATTTAAAAAGAAACTGGAAAAGTTAAATTGCTTACTGTCATAGATGTTATATGAGGCCAGAACACTGAAATATGTTTGTATAAATGATACTTAAGGTTTAGGTCTTAGGTGAGCAAATTTTAGCATTTTAAATATTAAACAAATTTTACTATTTTTGAGTGAAAAATTTCTTCAGATCTATCAACTTGAATGACAGTGTTTTATTCCCTGGGAGGATTAGAGGTAAAATTGAAGGCCATGATTTCACTTTTAAGAAATTGACAGATTTTTATCAACAGATTTCTCCAGCCTAAGAAAAAGTTGATAATTTTGAGCATAGTAATTGTTATACTTTCTCAAGTAATTTCCCAAATGTATTAATAATGAAAACATGGCTCATGGTGCTTAGGTGCATGTGCCGCTTGTAATATTGGTAGCCATGAACTTGGCTTTGGACTTGACCCTTTCCATGCGAAAGCTGAACTAAAGGACTGAATGGGATTGTGCCTGCCTCCTGGTAACAGTGTTCCCTGCCTACCTGCAGACTGGATCAATCTCAGAGATGGACCCATCACCATATCTGATGACTCTGATGAGGAAGGAATTCCGATGATGATCACGCCAGCTCCTCAGCAACACGACGAAGAGGACCTGGATGACGATGTCATCCTGACAGAAGTGAGTTTTCTTAAACTTGCCATAGTCTGATTCCTCAGTCATTCGGTAGTGGGTGCTGGGCCTTGTTGTGGGACGGCTGAGAGCACTACTGGTGCTGCACACGTAGTGGCTCTCTCTGTTCCCACGCTTCCTGTGTTTCCGAGAGCAGGCCCCTCCCACCCTGCCTGGTGTTCCCTTCCCTTCAGAAGCTGCAGGCTTCTGTGTTACTGGACTTCTGTGCACTGTGGCCCCATCCGACTGTTCATGTGCTGGCCACACCAGTACTTCCTACAGCCTTCTGACATCTCACTTTCAGGTAGCGTTCGTCTCCCTCGTACTCCTGTCTGTTTCAGAGTCCTGGATGTTTTTCTGCTTATATTTTTATATAAACTTGCAGAACAGCTTTTCTAATACAGGTGGATAGATAGACAACAAATCTTATTGTTAATACTTACAGAAAAATTATTATAATATTGACCCTTTCTAACTAAGATCAAGTTTTGTCAGTTTTTTATTTTTATTTTTTTAGAGTTTTGTCGATTTAAATATTTTTTGATTCTTATATTAAGTTCATACTCAGTCACCTTATTTTTATTGTCTGTAGTCATTTTTTCATTTGACTTTTATAATTTCTCAAGGGGTGGCACCTTATTTATCTGCAAATAATGCTTACAGTTTGTTTTTTATCTGATTATATTAAATGATACCACCTAAAAATTTTTTAGTAATAGTAGTAATGGCATAAGAAAAAGAGCCACCGACATAAATGAGAATACTTAAATGTGGCAGTGGCTGTTTGCATGAGAAAATATTTTTGAAGTTATGCCAAGAAAGTAGCCATCTACTTTGTTTCAGGTTTTTATTAGTCAGTGTGAATTCTATTAAATTCTATATATTCATCTCCAAATTTAAATACGGTTTTTATTTTTTTTATTTGTCTTTTTAAACATTTTTAAAATATATTTTATTAATTATACCATTACAGTTGTTCTATTTCCCCTCTTCATTCCCCTCCACCCTGCACAACCCTCCCCCACCATTCTCCCCCCTTTAGTTTATGACCACGTGTCTCAAGTTCTTTAGATTTTGTATTTCCCATACTATTCTTACCCTCCCCCCTGTCTATTTTCTACCTACCATCTATGCTACTTATTTTCTGTACCTTCTCCCCCCTTCTCCTCTTCCCACTTCCCTGTTGCTAACCCTCCATGTGATCTTCATTTCTATGGTTCTGCTCCTGATCTAGCTGTCCTCTTAGTTTGCTTCTGTTTTAGGTGTGGTTCTTTTTTATTTAAAGATTTTATTTATTTATCTTTAGAGGGGAAGGGAAGGAGAGAGGGAGAGAAACATCAATGTATGGTTGCCTTTTGTGCATCCCCTGCTGGGAACTGGCCTGCAGGGAACCAGCCTGCAACCCAGGCATGTGCCCTGACTGAGAATCGAACCGCGATCCTTTGATTTGCAGGCCCGTGCTCAATCCACTGAGCTACACCAGCCAGGGCTAGGTGTGGTTCTTAATAACTGTGAGTTTGCTGTCCTTTCACTGTTCATATTTTTTAGCTTCTTTTTCTTAGGTAAGTCCCTTTAACATTTCATATAATAAGGTCATGGTGATGATGAACTTCTTGAATTTGATCTTATCTGAGAAGCACTTTATCTGCCTTTCCATTCTAAATGAAAGCTTTGCTTCATTTGCTAGATAGAGTAATCTTGGATGTAGGTCCTTGCTTTTCATGACTTGGAATACTTCTTTCCAGCCCCTTCTTGCCTGTAAGGTCTCTTTTGAGAAATCAGCTGACAGTCTGATGGGAACTCCTTTGTAGGTGACTGTCTCCTTATCTCTTGCTGCTTCTAGGATTCTCTCCTTCATTTTAATCTTGGCTAATGTAATGATGATGTGCCTTGGTGTGTTCCTTCTTGGGTCCAACTTCTTTGGGACTCTCTGAGCTTCCTAGATTTCCTAGAAGTCTATTTCCTTTGCCAGATTGGGGAAGTTCTCCTTTATTATTTGTTCAAGTAAGTTTTCCACTGGTGGCTGTTCCTTCCGGTGCCCCTATAATTCGGATGTTGGAGCATTTAAAGATGTCCTGAAGGTTCCTAAGCCTCTCTTCCTTTTTTCGAATTCTTGTTTCTTCATCCTTTTCTGTTTGGTCAGTTTTTTCCTCCTTCTGGTTTATTCCTTTGATTTGAGTCCCAGTTTCCTTTCCATTACTATTGGTTTCCTGTGTATTTCCCTTCATTTCAATTAGTTTAGCCTTCATATGTCCCTGTAATTTGTGACTAAAATCAACCAGTTCTGTGAGCATCCTGATCACCAGTGTTTTGAACTGTGCATCTGAAAGTTTGGCTATTTCTTGATCACTTAGATTTATCAGCTCTGGGGCTCTGAGTTGTTCTTGAGCCATGTTTTGATTTGTTCTTGCCTGTTATGTGTGAGGAACAGAGCCCTCGGTGTTCACCAGGGCAGGGCCACCCAGGTTGCTGGTTTGTGACGCTGTGTGTGGGGGTGGGGTCAGAGAGGTGCAATGGCGGTCCCCTCTGCCAATTCCTGCCACTGGGGCCTGTGCGGTCCGTCTCACTGTTTGCTCCTTCACCGGTTTATCTTCGTGAGAATGTGTGACCGTGATCAGCCCTCAGTGGGTCCACCGCCTTGTGCCTTCAGTGGGTCTGCCCACTTCTCCACACCTGGGATCCGCCCATGGCTGCTGGCGCCTGGGTTGGTCAGGTGGATCTTTCCTGCCCGACCCTGCTCTGCTGCTGGCTCTGCCCGTCTTATCGGTTTGGTTGAAGGGTTTGTTGTTGTCAGACTTCCGTGTAGTTCAATTTTCTGTGGTTTAGCTACGTTTTTGTTGCTAAAACTTTGTTGTTTTTAAACTTAGTTGTGTGAGAACGTGCAGTGCTTCCACCTACGCCTCCATCTTGGCGGAAGTCTAAATACTGTTTTTAATACATTTTAGTTCTGTATACATTTTTATTTACTTTTAATATTTATTTATTTTTAGAGGGGAAGGGAGAAGAAAGGGAGAGAAGCATCAGTGTTCAAGAGAAGCATGGATTGGTTGCCTTTTCCACACCCCCAACTAGGGACCTGGCCTGCAGCCCAGGCATGTGCCCTGACTGGGAATCAGACGTTTCAGTTCACAGGCCAGTGTTCAGTCCACTGAGCCACAACAACCAGGGCTTAATTCTGTATATATATTTAATAACACTACAGTGGTTTCTGTTTTATACAGTTGATACTCACTTTTCTTTCTCCAAATTTTTTTTAATCCTCACCTGAGAATTTATATGTTTATTAATTTTAGAGCAAGAGGAAGAGGAGAGAGAGAGAAAGAGAGACAGGTAGAGAAAGAGACAGACATTGATGTGGGAGAAACACATTGGTTGGTTGCCTCCTGTATGTGATCCGCACTTAGGGATTGAACCCACAACCTTTTTGGTATGTGGGGTGAAGCTTCAACCTACTGAGCAACCCAGCCAGGGCTTGCTCTCCCTTTTCTTTCTTCTCTTTCTTTCTTTCTTTCTTTCTTTCTTTCTTTCTTTCTTTCTTTCTTTCTTTCTTTCTTTCTTTCTTTCTTTCTTTCTCTCTTTCTCTCTTTCTCTCTTTCTCTCTTTCTCTCTTTCTCTCTTTCTCTCTTTCTCTCTCTCTCTCTCTCTCTTTCTCTCTCTCTCCTTTCTTTGTCTCTCTCTCTCGTTTGTTCTTTCTTTCTTTAGTTCCTTCCTTCCTTCCTTCCTTCCTTCCTTCCTTCCTTTTCTACTTCTCTGCTGAAATTCTTAATCTAGTCTTTTATTTCCTTAAACATGCTAAGCATGTTATTTTAGAATCCATGTCTGATAACTTCACTGTCTGAAACCTCTGTAGGTTTGTTTCTGTTGTATGTTACTTCTCTTGGTTTGGTTTTTTATAGTGTTGCATTCATTTCTTAAATGCCTAGTTATTTTTTATTGAATTATAGTCATCATTGTGTATGAAAATTTTGAGGTTCTAGATGATGTCATCTTTCTTCAGAGAGGGCCTGCTTTTGTCTCAAAAAAGGTTAGGGGACCAGCAATCTCAAGTTCAGGAATTTTTTTAAAAGATTTTATTTATTTACTTTTAGAGGGGGAAGGAAGGGAGAAAGAGAGGGAAAGAAACATAGGTGTGTGGTTGCCTCTTAAGTGCCACCCACTGGAGACTTGTCCAAACTCGGATTCAGTTCCTGGGAGGTCCAGCATGTTTCCAGTTTACCCTTATTCAGTGGTGTAGCTCTTGGAGGACTTACACTAGAGCTTGAAATTTATCAGAACCCTTCCCCATGTTGAATTCTGAATTCCAGCTTTTGTACCTTTAGCTTCTCAACTTTCTCAACAAAAGTTTTGTATGTGTGGTTGCCTCTGGTGTGCCCCACACTGGGGACCTGGCTTGCAACCCAGGAATGTGCCCTGACTGGGAATCGAACTGGTGAGCCTTTGGTTCACAGGCTGGTACTCAATCCACTGAGCCACACCAGCCAGGGCCGTGTTTATCTCATTCTTTAGCCAGGCCTGGAATTGGCTGGTGTACGTGTAGGGAAAAAGGTACCCCAGTGTGGGACTCACCTTGCCATATTTCTTCCTCCTGGTTCCTATCTCCTGTATCCGGAGGCCTTCAAGTAGATGGTTTGGTTTGACATTTTGACTAATTTTGCTGCATTTACTCTATTGTTCGATTAATCTGAATGATCTGCCATTCCACTCATTGGATTCAGAAGCCCACTTTTGTGTTTTTTACCTCTGTGCTTTCTGAATCACTGTGTTCCAGGAACTCTTAGTTATAAGTTGGGTTTTATTTAGTGGCTCTATTTATTTTTTAATTTTTTTGCTCTGGTTTTTTTTTTTTTCTCTCTCTCTTTTTAAAAAATTTTAATTGTTGTTCAAATACAGTTTTCTGTTCTTTACTTCCATCCCAGCCCACCCACCCATCCCTCCCCATAGTGGCTCTATTTAAAGAGACTTCAATTTAATAAGTGAATTGACCATAGTTGTTATATAGTTTGTTTTTAGTTACCTCATAGTATTTAATATGATTCATTCTGTATTGTTTATAAAAATAATTTTTCACTGTATTCCTTGTGACTTTGAGGTTTTATTTTTATTTCTGTTGGAAGCATGAGTTCTTGATTAATTTGGTTTTCTAAAAAGATTATTTGTTTATTTATTTTAGACAGAGGGGAAGGGAGGGAGAGAGAGAGGGAGAGAGACATCAGTGTGTGGTTGCCTCTAGAGCGCCCCTGTTAGGAACCTGGCCCGCAACCCAGGCATGTGCCCTGACTGGGAATGGAACTGGCGACCTTTTGGTTCGCAGGCTGGTGCTTAAGCCACTGAGCCACAAGAGCCAGGGCAATTTGAAAGGTTTTCAATCCATAGTTTTATTCTTTTTAGTTCTTCATGTAGTTATTTTTATACTTTCAAATGTTTTTCTTACATTTACTATTTGATTTATCTGCTCCAAGTGTATAATTTGACTCCAATTTTTCTAGTTCCCTTTCTAACTTTTGATGGTTATCTTATTTCTACAAATCATGACTTAAAACATTTATATTAAAGAGATAACTATTCTATTACTTCTTTACGCCTTTGTTTTTATATTTTGTCATTATTTCGCCTGCTGTGTAGTGTCAATTTTCTAGTACGTGTTACTCGTTTACCATTCTTTTTTTAATAGTTAGGCATCTTCATATAGTTTCTGGGTTGTTTGTTATTGTTATTCAAATTTGAATGCATCAATTTTCTTGGACCAATTTTTCATAGGCAGTGATGTTGGAAAAGGGCTTAGGCTAGCAAGAATTCCCCTTATGACAGAGGATGGGTGGGGGAGGGCGGCGGTTACATTTATTTAACCTTCACTTCTTAGGCCTCCTGACAGAGACGGGCAGTTTAGAGCAGCCCAGTTCAAAGTTCTCTCCACTCCGCCTCCCGCAGGCATGTGTGTTCAGCAGACGTGTGTTAGAGAAGAGAAGGGCCAGAGACGTCTCTATTCACTCTCTTCAAATTGGACATTTGTTTTTTTAATTTTCAAGTAACACCTGATTGCATTCTCTGCAAAAATGGAAACAATACAGATAAAACTAAAGTCTCTTCACCAACCCCTCCCTCCCCAGGGATTTCCCAGAGGAACTGTTGTTTTCAGTTTGGCATGTATCCTTCCAGATCTTTTCCTTTGAGAGTGTGTGTGTGTGTGTGTGTGTGTGTGTGTGTGTGTGTACACATTTATATACCTTTAGAAATGGCTGTGTTATGTCTGTGTTTTGATTTTTTAAAATATGGAATTACTTTGCATATTGTTTCACAACTTTTCTTGGTTACTGCCATTTCTTTGGTGAACTTGCCATTTCAGTACACATAGGCTACCCCAGTTTGGGAGGGGGATTGGAGAGTATTCTGTGGAGCAGATAGTTCACTTAACCATTTTCTTAGGGACAAACTTTAGACCATGACCAGTGTGTTTTAGACTGTAAGCATTGTGCAGTTAATTTCCTTGTATGCATCCCTTTAGATTCAGCAGGGGCACAGGTAGGAAAAAGTGATATTGATAGAGTGGAGGGATATATGTTTTTTATTTTAATAAGTAATGCCAAATTGCTCTTCTAATTACACCAGCAGTTTTATATTACCTAGCTAAAATTTTTTAGTCTTATGGGGAGAAAAAAAATCTGGTTTTAATTTGTATTTTTCTGATTATCGAGTTCTACGTTTTTTTCTGTTTATTGAACATTTCTCATGTGTCTACTGTGTTGTCAGTTTTTCATTATTTTTCTACAGTTGTTTTTGTTTTAGTGACCTTGGGTGAGATTATAATTCGAACTGTAATTCAGACTTTAATATATGAATGGCTACTTTTATTCTTTTTTTTTTTAATCTTTAGAGGGGAAGGGAAGGAGAGAGGGAGAGAAACATCAATGTATGGTTGCCTTTCATGCATCCCCTGCTGGGAACTGGCCTGCAGGGAACCAGCCTGCAACCCGGGTATGTGCCCTGACTGGGAATCGAACTGCGATTGTCTGGTTCGCAGGCCCGCGCTCAATCCACTGAGCTACACCAGCCAGGGCTACTTTTATTCTTATAGTGAGTATAGAATGATCAGATTTCAGTGTTACGATAAGTATGAAGAATAGGTTTTATGGACGAGGGTGTTTTTGCTTCTTTCCTCTCTTATCAGAAACATGTAAGTACATACGGAGGCATAGACATAGGAAAGAAATTGAATTATTATTATTAAAATTTTATTTTTTTCTTAGACAAGTAAACCTCAGACATCACGACCCAATCTCATCAAACCAGCTGCCCAGTGGCAAGATCTCAAAAGTTTGGGAGAAGAAAGGCCTAAAAAGTCTAGAGCAGCTTTTGAATCAAATAAGAACAACTATTTTGCAGTGTATAACAGCTCATTGTTTGATTCTGGGACACAGGGTGATTCTGAGGATGACTACGGTGAATTTCTGAATCTTGGGCCTCCTGGAGTGTCTGAATTCATGAAGCCTAGTGGCCAAACAGAAAGAGAACCCAAGCCTGGACCAAGTCATAACCAAGCAGCAAGTGATATTGTCAATCCCGGATCAGGGCCAAAAGTCTTTATCTGGAGAAAAGGTGGCCTCCTTATTCCAGATAGTGACCCTTTGGACACCCAGAACCAGTCATCTGAGTCATCTGAAGACTCAGAGTCAGACCTGCTATCAAACCTCGGGGAGTCGGCTGCTATCCTAGATGAGCAGGCCATCGAGGAAGACTGCTGGTTAGACCACCCGTACTTACAGCCTCTGAACCAGCAGCCCCGAGAGGTCACAAACCAGGTTGTTCCTCAGGAGCGGCAGCTTGGACCAGAACTGGGCCCACTGTTCTTTCAGCACGAGCCCCTAGGGCTGGCTTTCCCAAGGCCCGCATTTCCAAGACCAGCACCCCAGCAGGATGGGATTCCAGGCCCCTCTTCTCCTCAGCCTGCCCACCCTCTAGGAGAGCTGGAGGACCAACAGTTAGCAATAGATGGAGACGAGCCAGGCCCAGCCTTTCCACTACAAGGATCTCAGGAGCCCCATTTGGAAAACCTCTGGGGGCAAGAAGCTACTGAGGGAGATCAAGAAGCCGTTGCACTATTAGTGAAAGAAACAGTAAGTTTTCTTTTATTAAATAAATAGTTATAGGTGCTACACATACCGAGTTTTCTTTTACTGCAAAAGCGTTGCGTATGTGCACTTCATTTACCTAAGGGGGGGTACAAAGCTGCATTTACAGAATGGAAGAGAAACTCTGAAAATGTGAAAATTAAATCAAGATTTCTTACTGTTTTTAATGCCCCAGCAAGCCCTTTGGGGTTCTAGCTGCAGATTGTGGATACCCCGGTGCTGTCATATGAGCAGTCCCCCCATTTTTAAAATGGCATCGAGTCAACTCCAAAGTCAAACCTTTCAAGCAGGTTTGCCAAGTTATCTAGAATTACTCTGTCCAAGATGGTAGCTTCATGCGGTGGTTGAGGTTAAAATGTCTTACGATTAATAAAATTGAGTTTTGTTTTCAGTGGCAGCAGTCACATTGTAAGTGCTCTATAGCCACATGGGGCTGAAGAGCGACCACGTTGGAAAGCACAGAGTAGGGCTTTCCCATTGCTGTACAAAGTGGTCGGATAGCACCTGCCTCAAAAGTGGTGCAGGGCTTTCTGTCCTGGCCCTGCTGCCCTTGCCTTTGAATAGTCTCTTAACCCTTCTTCCCCAGGTTTTCTCATTTGGGGAAGAGGTCATGTGCTTCTTGAGGGTAAGCACTAGAAAGTGCTTCATTCATCTTTGGACTCTCTTTGCTGGGCAGAGATGTTTAATGTTTATTAAAAGAATGAAGGATGTACAAAGTGGAGGCAGAGGACCAGGTGATATTGAGGGATCCTTGTACATTCCATACTTTGTGTAGACAAATAAATCTGGGTACCTCATGTGGGGTTTGAAGCCAGACACAAACTTGCTTTATAGCCCTTTTCTTGTTTGTACTCATTTATATACTTTTTGACATCTGGATTTTATTGTAATTTGAAACCATTCTAGTGGATGAAATATAAATAATGTTTTTCTTCTTCTCCAGGAAATAAGATTTCCAGATGTAGCAACTGGATATATTGAGGAAATAATTCATTTGAAGAATTACTATGATTTGAATGTGTAAGTATACCACCATGCCTTTTGTGATTTTTTTATTGTAATAAAATATACAAAACATTACAAATTTATAATTTAACCATTTTCAAGTGTATAGTTGCATTAAACGTGTTCACAGTTTTACACAACCATCACCACCGTGCATCTCCAGAACTTTCTCATTTCCCCAGTTGAAACTGTCCCTGTGAAACACTAACTCTCCATTCCCCATGCCTTCTCCCCATGCCCCGCACCCACCGGTCTGCTCTGTGTCTCTGTGACTGACTGTGACTGCGACTGTGGCTGCGACTGCTCTAGGGACCTTGTGGAAGTGGGATCGCACGGTGCCCGTCCCATCGTGACTGGCCTGTCTCACTTAGCAGTGTGTCTTTTTGCATGGTTCTGTTAGAAGACTTGTAACCTTAGTCAGACACAGATTTGTTTTGTTTTTCAGTCTTACGGAGTCCGCATGTTTGGTTAACTCTGAGCATTGATACTACTTGTGTTTGGGCCACGGTGTTAAGAGATTTTTTCCCTATATTTGTACTGAAAGTAAGTGCCTTGCAGCCAGTTCGCCTGTTTAATGGAAGTGTCTGAATTCAGAATGAAAAGTGAGCCTTTTTCCTCTTTCACTCTTTCTCTTCCTTTTAGTCTGTAGAGATGGAACAGTTGTAATTTGAAAAGGACAGTAGAATGTTGAAATTAATCAATTTTCAACTAATTAATACAGGTTATTTTAATTAAACAAAAGGAGGTAGTGTATACTTCCAGCACCCTAGCAGATCATTTTCCACACACACCACGTGGAAACCACTGGCTTCATTCACGGGTGGGCCATCCTAACCAAGAGTCTCTGTTGGTTGACCAGACTGCTGGTATCTGGCAGATTTTGGCCTTCAGGAGCCACACTACCAGAAAAGTATCGACAGGCAGTTAAAGTGGAGGAGCTGCCCCACACGTGATGTGTCGTACGTGCAGGCGTGCACATGTAAGGAGTTACTTGGGTTTCCAGGCCTGTCCCCACAGACAGTGCATTCTTAATGGGGGCTGATTCTCAAGGCAGCCTTCAAAGGTCTATATAACCGACATTGCTCACAATTCTGTCATGGAACAAAGGATTAGCATCAATGAGGGTGGTTTTAAAGGTGTCTCTCCTTAGCTACAATTATAATACGGGGCTTTTCCCCTCCGTGGGCCTCTGGTATTGTGTTTCAGTAGTCAGGGCTGGTGGTAGGGAAGAGAAAGCTCAGAGAGAAGAGGCATTTGGGACTCCCGGAAGTGATGGTGAAGAAAAAGGTGCTGAGGTGTGCTGAGCAGTCTGGGAGCAGGATGAGGTCCGGGCTCTGCAGCCAGGCCAGTGCTGAGCATCATCAGGGGGTTGCAGAGGAAGTTTGCCTCCCCGTTTTTTGGTCCCCAAACACTTGGGTGAGGAGAAGAGCTGGAGGTGAGCATGTTTCCTCTTAGCCACTTGTACCTGTCTTACTATTAGACGCTCTACTGCTGACACTGGTTAGGAGAGACCCAGGGAAAAGGAAGTCAAGTGAGAACCGTGGGTGGGGCACCCATGAGCAGGTGGAGTCATCCTAAGAATCTGCAGGATCCGGGAAGGAAGGATGGGGTAGGTGAAGCCTCGCTTGCGCTGTGAGCATGGGGCTATGCACCACCCAAGCTGACCAGCCGATCTTGATGTTTAGAATCCTCCCAGGAGCACACTTGGTTGCCTGATTTGGGTGTTGCAGGTCAGCATTGCTAGTTAGCATTTGTTAAGTCTGGGTGGGGTACATCTGTGTGTGTTACCTTACTCTCTGTACCCTCAATAGTGCATTGTTTTGTAGTGGCCATAAAGAGATGGGCTCTGGGTTTGGTGAGCCGAGCAGACATGGTCTGCTCCTTTGGCCTTGCAGGTGGGAGAACAAACGAGTGTCACTCAGATTGCTCACAGGGATGGATGTGACCACAGGGTTACAGAAGTATGAATGATTGATAGGAGGGCATTTACTTACTCTCTTAGCAAACTATTTTTATTGTGAACATGAATACACACTTTTTCCCACCCTTTGTTTGTTACATGTTTTTTTAACAAATAGATACTTGTCATCTAAATTCTCCAGTTCTGTACAGTTCAACCAATAAGAATTTCAGTGACTTAATTACATTGACACCCAACTAATAGAAAAACATCAGAGGGCTTTGCTTTTTAAACTATCAACCAAAAATAGAAATTCAGTATAACTGTCTTTTTTCTATTTGCTTTGCTTTTCTGATCTGCAAACATTTTAATTCCTTGATAGGTCAATGTGTAACCAAGAATTTCATTTTTTAAACATTGCTTTTGAATCAGTGGGCAGGTGTGGGGTTTGGAAGCCATATGAAAGTAATGTCATTTATTTTTGCAGAATTTGTAATTTTCTTCTGGAAAATCCAGATTATCCAAAGAGGGAAGACCGAGTGATGATCAACCCCAGCAGCAGCCTGCTTGCCAGCCAGGATGAGACGAAGGCGAGTGCTGTGCTCTTGTCCCGCAGTCCTCGCCTGGGAGTGCTCTGCTTTCTTTTTTTTTTTGGCTTCATCATCTTTATGGGAAAAAAAGTGCTGTGTCAGGACATGTTTCTAAAAACTAGCTGGCAGAATGGGATTTCAGAATGCACTTAAATTTTAGTGGGGTTTCTGAATCCGAGCCCCTTTGAATTCTGTATTTAACTTCTCTCATTGTGACTCTATCTTCCCCTTCTTATGAACAATTAAAGCCTCCATATCTTTAATCCTACAAAAGTAAGTTCCTAAAGTGAAACAAAAATTTGCCAGAGTTCTTTGTGTCATCTCAGTATTTTTTAACATTGAAAATTGAAAACAGGAACAACTTTAAACATATAGGCATGTCAAAAGATTGTATTCATTGCCTATATACCCAGCAGCAGTACTGCTAAAAGTTTACATTCTGCTATATCCACTTCGTCACACATCTGTCCCTCTGTCCGTCAGCACCTCTCTCTCATATTTTATTTCTTGTATTTTTATTATAATGCATTTAAAACTAAATCATGCCCTGCCAGGTGGCTCAAATGGAATGTGGCCCCAGACACCAGGAGGCTGTGGGCTCAGTCCCCAGTCAGGGTTACAGGTTCAGGCCCTGCTCGAGGTGGGTGAGATGGGAGGCAACCAGTCAGTATTTCTCTCTACTCTCGCCCCTTCTTTCTCTCTCTCTAAAAATCAGTTAAAAAAAACAAACATGTACTCAGGTAAAGATTTAAAAAAGTAAAATAAACTTTAAAAATTGCAAAAGCATCAGTACACCGCCCCAGTGCCTCTTCCTAGTTCTGCTGTGAGATTTCTATACAGTGCATACACCTGTGTAACCAAGTCCTATCCCAAGATATAAACAGTTTGACTTTCTAAATCTTAATCTTTGTCTTCGTTTGTGGTCCAAACAAGCGCTTAGTGTAACTGGCGAAGGGAAGTGTAGTTTAGAATGGCTTCACTGGGGTCTGTTGCTCCTACCTTCTATCTCTCACAAATTTTTATAGCAGAGGCAGGAAAATTTAATTTTTTAAAACATTTTGTGGAAAGAAGAAAGCTAAAAGATTGGGTTCAAACCCCCAGCTATGCTTTTTTAGTGGCTCTAGGTAGTAAAACTAGTCTCCAGACTTCAGACAGCCACTTAACCTCTTTTAGGCACGGTTCCCTCATCTCTCCTCAGGGTTGGTAGCCTCTTCGTGAGTTGTTGTGAGTGAGGCTTTCTGTTCTGGAGTGAGCAGGCCCTCAGATGATTTCTCTCGTGGGAAGTGCACTGCCTGGCCTCTAATGCTGTGTCTCTCTCTTGTTTCAGTTGCCCGAGATAGATTTTTTTGACTATTCCAAATTGGCTCCTCTTGACCAGCCCTGCTTCATCCAAGCTGCTGACCTCCTGATGGCTGACTTCAAAATGCTCAGCAGTCAGGACATCAAGTGGGCTCTGCATGAGCTCAAAGGACACTATGCAATCACCCGAAAGGTGATCTACTTCGTCTTCTGGTGGGGTCACCCCTCTTGACTACTTCTTCCTGTGATAACAGAATGAAGAGTTCAGCTTGAGGAAATTGGGGTGGATTTCATGGCAAAGGGCTAAGGAGTTTTTCAGGGTGAAGGTAAATAGACAAAGATATTTGCTGATCAGGAAGAACTGAATGAAAAGAAATGATGTATTAGAAGCAGGGAAGTTCTGACTTGACCATGAAGTCATGTAGGGTAATGAATTTTATCGTGGAATGCAAGATGGCTAGAATAGGAGGGATGGGTTCCTGTGCTGCTCCTCCCTCACATGCTTTCTGGCTTAGGGCAGGCCACACCATCCTGTCTGTCCCAGGTGGCTCAGGTATCGGGTATACCAGGGAGGGTCTGCCCAGTGGGTGGTGGTTTGCCTCAGAAGGGAGTGAGAGCTCCCACTGTTTTGTTTCCAGGGCCCTAAATAAGATTCCACTTGAGGGCCTCTGTTCCAAGGCTTAGAAGAGCGCTGCTCACTAGTGGGTCACGCAGACGTGCCTCATTAGTGAAGTCCGTGGCACAGTGTCTCTTCTTGGTGGTCAGACAGGACAGAGAGCACCAGTAGGTCTTTGGCTTCTCTTTCTCTCTTCTGCTGCCATGAAATCTATGTGTTCTGCTGAAATTGTGGTGATTTTCAGCAAACAGTATGCTTTTTGTGAAAGAACAAACAAATGTGGAGTTATTTTAGTGGTTAAAGCATCCACCATGTCTTAACCTGAAAGGTGAACCACAGGTGAATGTGACTTTGTGCTGAGTCTAGAAGCCTTTCACCTTTAAGTTGCCAAGAAGATCCAGGCAACTCTCAACAAACTTCTGATTGTAGGTTAATTTTAGATAGAATTACTCTGATGGGAATATAAGTTTGTGCTTTCTATTTCTGAATCTCATTCCCTAAATTATCTGAGTAGGAGATGCCTGAACTGTCATTGAAAAGTGAATGAGCTTCCCCCAGAAATAACTGCAAGAAGCAGTTCTCCCATCCCGAGGCCCTGCTGGTGCTGTGTTGCTGCAGTGGTGTCTTACGCTTGTCTGAGCTCCCAGGGGGCCCGTGGAGGAGCGAAGGGGCCACAGCAGGAGACAGCTCCTGTGGTCTTGGGGTGGGTGGTTCTCTTCAGTAATGTCCCTGCTGGAGGTTTGGTCATCCCACGGCCCACTCATTATTTGGGTGGGAGGTTGTAGAGTTTTGTGGCTCAGTTTCCCTCATGTATACCTTTCTTATCCCTTTATCTTCCTGGCCCTTTACAGTTTTTATGGGGTCTGCTTGTTTTGGTGGGTATTTTGAAATTTTACATGCTATTTGAATGAAAGCGAGGTGTTTAAGGGAAAGCACTGTTTGGCAGAAGCTAAAATCTGGTGTACTCAGTTGCAACTTAGAACTTCTCCCTGCAGTGTGGAGATGGTGCACAAGGGTTCTGCCCTCGAAGTGACACTCGTGTGGACAGGGGTGCAGCAGGCATGCCCAGAGATGCCGTGTGATTAATGATGGCAACAACACGTCTTCCCACGCAGGCTGCTCCTCAGACGTGGTGATCGCTTGGGGGAAGTGTGTTCGCTGTGAAGATAGTCACATTTCCCTGGATTGTTTTTTTCACTTTTTATTATAAACATCAGGCACCTAGAAAAAAGGTTGTGTTATTAATAAGCCCACAGTTACTCATCGCTCAGCTTCAGTAATCCTCAGCTGCTGCCCAGTCTTGTTTCATCTCCACCTGCTTCCTCCCTCTCAGACTGTTCTGAAGCCGATTCCAAGAATCATTCCATTTTTTTTTCTTTTTTTAAAGATTCCATTTATTTATATTTAGAGAGGGGAAGGGAGGGAGAAAGCGGAAGGGAAACATCAATGTGTGGCTGCCTCTCATACGCCCCCTACAGGGGATCTGGCCTGCAACCCAGTCATGTGCCCTGACTGGGAATGGAACCAGCGAACCTTTGGTTTGCAGGATGGCACTGGATTCACTGAGCCACACCAGCCAGGGCCATTTTCTTTTCATCTAAAACTGTCTCAGTGTTTACCTTTAAAATACAAATAAATTTTTTTGAGAACCATACTCAAAAGTACCATTATTATCTTAAAAATTATCATGAGTAGGTAGCCAGTCAGTATCCATATTTCTCTGAATGTGTCAAGACAGCCTGTTTGATCATACTGGTTTCCAAGTGAAATAAATCTGTTTGTTTTAATTGATTGATATGTTACTTAAATTCTTTTAATCTATAAGTTTTTGCTCTTCCTCCAGGCTTGAGTCTCTGTTTATTTCTCAACTTTTGTATCGTCAGATGCCTGTTACAGTGTTTGTAGGTCCTCCTCTAAAGGAATTTCAGCCATTGCACAGATATCCTAGAAATCTTAGTAGATTGTGTCCCTGATTCTCAGATCTAACACCGAGAGTGGGTGTTTGATTTGTGAACATGAGCAAGCTAGAGGGAGAAGTGCCGGTTATAGGAAAACTTAGCTTCCACATCTGTGTTCCTTGTGGTAGGTTTTTGAGTCCTGTGTGGTGCTTACCATCCACCCCCTGAGGACACTGGCATCATAGAACACAAATTAGCTTCCTTTCAGAGAGCTTTCAGTCTGTTTGAGAAGATTAAAAAGAAAGATTAAAATGGTGTGATGCTTAGTATCACAAAAGAGAGCTACAGGAAAGCATAGGGAAGAAGTGAAGATGGTGGTATTTGAATAGAGTCTCAAAAGAATAGATGTTTTCAGGAGAGGAAGATGGCAGAGGCTGCAAGGCATGAAAAAGGAGCTGTGGTGCTTTGGAATTTGTAGGTCTGAGTCACAGCTGGCAGGCCTGGGCTTCTGGCAGTGTGATTTCACCTGGTGCATGTACCTAGGTCTTCAGTCACTATTGAGATTAAGATAGGTGATGATTGTTAATATAGCTATGAAAGTAAGATTCCAGAGCCTCCTTTAATTTGTAGACAGCATTTTGTTTTAGATACAGTTTCCTGACAAGTGCTGGTTTGTGCTTTTGTGTGTGGATTTCTCTCTGCTAAGTAGAAACATTTAAATGGGACCAAGGTAAGGACCACAGTTTACTTCCCTTGAAGAGCCTTTATGTTGGTAACGTGGCTGCAGACCTGGGGGATTGCCAGTTACGAGCTCCGAGCTCACATTCCAGTTTGATTAGTTACTGATAAAGGACATCTACCTCATTTATAAAATGCAAATTCTAATACCTGTCCTGCATCCTTTTTTGAGTTTTCTTCACAAATAGCCCTGTAGGTGAAACTTGCTAGAAATTAATTACTAGTGTCACAGCCGAGTACAAACATGTGACTTTAAGATTAGTGCCTGAGGGTTTGCCTGGGATAGTGGGGATTCAGGAAGAAGAAACAGAAAGCAAGGAAGGAGGTACCGCAGCCCTGGAGGATGTTGGTGCAGGTAGAAAAGCAGCGAGATGAATGTTGCCTCTGGCCGGTTCTTGGTAAGGGTTCCACTGAGTCTGGGAGCCCATAGGGATGTCAGAGAGGGGAGCTTTAGATCTGAGCTGGCCCAAGTTCAAGTCCTAGCTTTAATGAAGGTTTGACTGGGGGCAAGTTTGTTCATTCTCCTAAGTCCTACTCCCTCTGCTATAAAACAAGTAACACCTCCCTCGGGGTCATCGTGAGAACTGACTGAGATGAGGAGTAAGAAGGTGCACAGGTAGTACTGAGCTCCCAGGAGGTACGCTTAGCAAATGGTAATTCCCTGCTGATGACCAAACCTGGGAGCTCGGAAAGGAAAGGGTAGGAGGCAGATTTAGATGAAAGGTGATGCTTCTGTCTTCTGTAGCTAAAGTACTTTTTTTCTTGTCTTTCTGCCATGGATACACAGCTGTCTCTAAAATAAACAGGTCAGAATGAGATTCATTACCAGCACCCCCATAACACATACACAACCCTGTTAAAAACTGTGCAGTTGGCTGAGGATATACCCTGAGGTACAGTATCGAGGCTCAGAGTCCAGTGGAGGAGGTAACATGAAACAGCATCACGCAAATAAGTGTATCATTACACCTGTGATAAGCATTTTGAAAGAAAAATACAAGAGTGTGAGGACCTAGGGAGGACTAAGCGGCCCCAGGAGGGCCTCCCGGAGCAAGTGACATTGAGTCACAGGCCTAAGTGTTACGTAAGTAGGAGTTGAGTGAGGAGGCACGGAAGGTGACAGTGTTTTTCCTGGGACGAGGAAGACTGTGGGAGAGCTACTCTGGAGAGAGAGGATCAAGAGTCCAGTCTGGGAAACATCGGCCAGCAAGTAAAAACAATTCATTGGTCGAATGGACATGAAAGGTGGGGGGTAGGATTAGGGATGGGATTTTGAGAGTCATCAGCATATGGAAGGTTACCCCCCACCCCCATGCCTGGATGAGGTGCCTAGAGAGACAAAGGCTGCCTTGGGGACTGCCACAGGTAAAGCCCAGAAGTGGAGGCTGGTGGAGGAGGAGCAGGCAGGGAGGAAGCTGGCCACATTGCGAGCACTGCTGAAAGGTCAAGTGGGACTGAACGCTAGGTGTTCCAGTGAGTTCTGTGGTTACGTAGTAGATTAGCAAGTGGAAAGGAAAGGTGGGGTTTGATCCTAGTTTAGAAGTTGGGAAGTTCATGGGAAGTGAGGTGTTGGAACGCATGCAGACTGCTCCTTTGATAAGTTTGCCTACAAAGAGGAGGAAGAAGGAAGAGGGGGAGGAGGCCAGGAGAGGAAGGTTGTTTTTTTTTAAGATGACACAGACTTTAGCACATTCAAATGCCTGTTGGAAGGATCTGGAAAAGGGAGGAGTGAAAGGTATGAAAGAAAGGGGATTGTCACAGGCCTAAGAGCTTGGTGCTCCAGGACAAAAGGGTGCCCCAGCCACTGGGCTGGGGGCAGGGAGTGGGTCAGGGATGTGGAGCAGAGAAGCACCGTGTAGGGCTTGCCCGTGCAGCAGGACTCACTAGCCATTTATTGGTGATTTAACTTGTGCTTACTCAAGGTCAGTGTGAGCTGCCCTTCAATTGGTCACCGGAGATTTGGGTTCTGCCGTTGTAGCAGTTTATATGAAAGTCAGAAAAAACAAAGATAATGAAATGCTGCCTGTTTGCTTCACCACTGCCTCTCTCTGTAAGCCATGCAGGGGAGATAATTAAAACTGAGTCAGCGTGAAAGTGGGGATTGCCTGTGTTTCACGTATTCTTGAGTCCTGTCTACAGTGGTAACCTTTCCCTTTCTCCATTTTTAGGCCTTTTCTGATGCCATTAAAAAATGGCAGGAGCTATCTCCAGAAACCAGTGGGAAAAGGAAAAAGAGAAAAGAAATGAATCAGTATTCTTACATAGATTTCAAGTTTGAACAAGGTAATGGCCAACTGTGTGAGGGGCTACTGTGCAGAACCGGCCCCTTCCCAGGCACTCGGAAGGGGCGCTTGGGGGGATGCTGCTTAGGTCGTGTCCTCCAGCTCAGTCCGGGCATTGACCCTGATGTAGACGGCTTGCACAGCACATAAGTGCTTTAAAATAAAAAGCTGCTACAGTCGCCATCTTCCTTCTTCCTGCTGAGGAGGTACCCCGACAGGAGAAGTCAGTGCAGGGTTAGAGAACTCTCGGTGGTGAAGAGTTGGGGAGGCACTGGGTGTGGCTGTTGGACGGGAGTTAGCTTTCTCGCCAATAGAAACTGTCTAGAGCAGAGCAGAATGACTGCTTACTGCCGAGAGGTCACTTACACGCCTGAGGAGTGGCTTCCCAGGGAACAAAACAAACAGCTCTGAAGCAGCCACTTGTTTATTAAAAATTCTGTTATTCTTATTGACAAATAACTACCCAAAGCTCTTCCAAAGAGGTTAGTTAGGTCAAGTCTAATCCCCCCAAAAGGTAATCATTTTGAACTTTACAACAAACTTTATCTGAGTTGTTTGTGTCCAAGCTTTTCCTATAGATGATGTCATCGAAAGAAACATTTCCCTTTTCTGTGTCTTTCTGTTACTCTGCACCTAATTACATAACTTGATTTTAGGTATGACTACATGGAAAATCCATGAGTTACCTGTAGAGTTAGAAAGTACTTGAATTTCTGAACTCTTCAGAACCTAAAAAAATCCTAAAGTCCCCAAGCTAGTCTGTGGAGCAGTGCTCTCCCGACATGTCCCTCTCACAGGTCTGTGGCAGAATGAGAGAGCGGGGACAGTGTGTAAGGGGTTTTTCATTCAGCTAAATGTGTTCACTCTTTAGACTGGGCCTCCCTAATGCTTGGTCCTTTCGTATTTATTCCTGACTTACAGTGGTAGAGAAAGGGAAACGCCACATCGTAAGATCATCCACTCCCTTGTTAGTCTGCCCTGTCTTTTAGAAAATTCTTTTTTTTATCAAACCAGAGGGTATCTTCCTGATGTTTCCTGCCACGGTTGTAGCTCTGGCCTCTGAAAAGACTTGGAAGCTATCTGTTGCCACTTCATCTTCCTGATTTTCCCCCTCTGGGTGCCCTTGGCTAGCGTGTCAGTATCTTTGAAAGTCTGGATGTGCCAGGCCGGATGAAGTGCTCCATGTGAGGTCTGCTGTGTAAAGACAGCAGCTGCAATGTCTGTTCTCCACTTGCATCTCTATGGCCTAAGGGGGTTGTAGCTCTGTAAAATTAGAGTGTGTCCCACCTTTGGCTTCCATTGAGCCCGGATCTGTTCATCCCCCCTTGCTTTTTAGTCACTAACTTCTCTCTGCTTTGATGCCTATGACATCTTTCCCTGTTAACTTCATCTTGTTAGTGTTAGCCCACTGTTTTAGGTATAAGACAGTTCCCTCTTAATAAGGGAACTGGAAGTTAGAAGTAGAAAATATACTTGGTTTCTATTAGTTTAGTATTTATGACTTACACATAACCTTTTTTGACAGCAGTTTATAAAAAAGCACATAGGCTAAGAATCCTTCATCTGACCCAGGGATCCCATACTCAACCTTCTTGGCTTCTTTTCCGTCCAGTCACTGTCTGGGCTGCACGTTGCTTAGCTCAAAGGCAGAAACAGGGCTGTCCCTCAGCTCTGCTTTTTATGGTGCTGATGAACTAACCACTGCACAGGCTTCCATGAAGAGTCTGGGGAGAATTTGGAGGAAGGTGGATACAAACACGCCCTGTTACTTCTGGCAAGGCTGACCAAGAAGAAGCGGGATCCACAAACTACAAGTATTGGGAGTGGTTGCTGTCTGTAGGGGTATCGGGCCAGACCCTTCGGATGTCCAGAGAGAAATACTGGGGAGAACTTTCACAGTATTGACAGCCTTGAAATGGACCAGTTACTCAGAAACACAGACTACAGAATTGACCCATACAGAGAAGATAATTTAAAGAGCCCTATAGCTATGAAGGAAACTGAATTTACAATTTTAAATCTCCCAAAAAAGAAATCTCCAGCCCCAGTTGGTGTCACTGGAAAAGGCTCCCAAACATTTTTGAAAAAGTGAACACCAGTTCTACACAGTTCCTTTGAGAAAATAGAAGAGTGGGAAGCATTTCCCGATTCATTTTACAATGCTGGTATTACTCTGAGAACAAAACCAGAGGAAGACAGTTTAAAAAAAAAACTACAGACCAGTTATCCCTCATAAACACAGATGCAAGGATGTTTAACAATATTAGTAAATAGAACTTACATATAAATATATGAAGTATGTTCATGTAAATATATAAAAATATATTTTAATATGCACCAAGACCAAGTATGGTGTATTCCAGGAATGCAGGACTGGTCCAGTATTCAAAAATGTATCAGTGCATCCACTGTGTTAGGCTAAAGGAGAGAGGTTACCTTGTCATATCAGTTGATACAGAAAAGGTATTTAATAATACTCAGCATCTGTTCATGGTTAAAACTCTCAGAAAGTTAGGAAGTGAGAGGAGCTTCCTCAGCTTGATGTCTACAATACAATCTATTCCTGACATCATACTTAATGGTGAATCTTTCCCTCCCATCCCCAGGATGGGAGCAAGGGAAAGATGTCCTGTCTTCACTGCTATTCACCATAGGCCTGCAAGTTCTAGTCCATGCAGTAAAGAAAAGGAAATAAAAGGTACAGGTCAGAAAGGAAGAAACAAAACTGTCTCTTCAAGCAGATGACGTGATAAGTGTGCCTAGAAAACTTTAAAGAATCTACCTCAAACTCGTAGAACTATTAAATGAATTCAGTATGGTTGCAGGATGTAAGATCAGCCAACAAAAACCAATTGTATTTCTCTACTAGCAGTGAACGTGCGGAATCAGAATTTACAATACACCACTTACAGTTGCTCCTCCCAAAATTGAATACTTAGGTATAAATCTAACAGCGTCAACGGGACTTTTATGATAAAAACTATAAACCTGAAGTCAGTCGAAGTTATAAACAAGTGGAGACACATACTATGTTCATGGATGGAAAGATACAAATCCTACAAGCAGACCTCGTTTTATTTCCCTTCGCTTTATTGCGTTCTGCCTTTTCATCAGTGTGGAGGCAAGACCCTCCTCCAGCAAAAAGAGAACAGCTTGCTGAAACCTCAGGTGATAGCTACCATAGTTTAGCAATAGAAGGATTCTTTTAAATAAGGTATGTTCTTTTTTTTTAAGATATCATGCTGCTAACCCTAACCACACTATAGCGTAGACAGAATTTTGTTGTGCACTGGGAAACCGAAAGGTTCCTGTGACCTTTCGTGGTAGTCCCGTTGTCGCGGTGGTCTGGAGCGACACCGGCACTGTCTTCGAGGGGGCCATGCACAGGCTCGATGTAGCTCCTGTCAAAATCCCAATGAGACTTTTGGTGGGTGCAGGTAAGCTTATCCTGACACGGAAGGGCCAGTTACTAGATCAGATGAGATCATTTTAAACAGCGAAGTAGGAGAAATCAGTCTGTCTGATTTTAAGACTTGCTACGTAGTTACTGTGATTTAGACCAGGTTGACAGGAAAATAGACATGCAGATCAATGGAAAAGAATAGAGAACAAAGAAAAACTGGTTTTCTAACTTAAATTTTATTTTTAATTTTTAAAAACTAGTGAGAATGAACAAAAAAATGTTTCAGGAACCTGATATGGTGAATACTATATGTGCTGCCACAGGGAGCACAGATGTAGTAAGACTGATAAAGTAAAAAACTTTACAAGAAACAGGCTTTTGTGAGGAAGTAGAAAATCTGGATGAGGTAGAAAATTTTGTAGAAAGTGTAAATTACACCAAATCAACAGCAGAAATAGAAAACCCAAACAGACCAATTTTACACGATGTGATGTTTGTCATTCTGTTTGTCTTCTAAGTGTTATTTATTGTGGACCTAGGTATTATTCTTCCAGCTTTACTATTTGATATTCTATTTGATTTGTGCCTACCAGCATGGCTAAAATTGCAAACCGGGGATACCAGGCGCTGCTGCGGATGTGGGATGATTTGGACTCACGTGTATTGCCGGTGGAGGAAGAGTGTAAATCGTAAAAACCGCATTGGAAAACTGGCACTGTTTTCTGAAGCTGGCCCAGCAGTTTCGTTCCATTCTGTGTGCTCCACTGAGCTGTAGACATATGTTTGGTAGCCCAGTTTGTACTGACCCCAAACTGTAAACCCACCTCTTCTCTGTAGTAGGGTGGATGATAGACTGGTATATTCACACAGCACCACACTGATGGGATCAGAGAGATGCTCTAATTAAAGGACAGAGGGAAAAAAGACATGAGAGTCCAAAAGAGCACGTAGGTGAGGGAGCGGGGTAGAGCCCAGGTTCTGCAGGCAGCGGAGCACGCAGCAGAGGAGGAGGGTGTGCTGCAGGGGAGGAGGCTGGACGGCTGGCCCGGGCTCCTGGCAAACACTTATCTGCATGATTTTGCACTGTCGTGTCTTCTAGGCAACATAAAAATAGAAAAGAGGATGTTCTTTCTGGAAAACAAGAGGCGGCACTGCAGGTCCTATGACCGGCGTGCCCTCCTTCCGGCTGTGCAGCGGGAGCAGGAGTTCTACGAGCAGAAAATCAAAGAGCTGGCAGAGGTAGGGGGACGCGCACGGACATGTTTAATAATAAACTACTCAGGTTTTATTTATTTATTTTTAAAGACTTTATTTTATTTTTAGACAGAGGGGAAAGGAGGGAGAAAGAGAAGGAAAGAAACATCAGTGTGTGGTTGCCTCTCGCACACCACCTACTAGGGACCTGGCCTGCAACCCAGGCCTGTTGACTGGGAATCGAACCAGCGACCCTTTGGTTCACAGGCCGGTGCTCAGTCCACTGAGCTACACCAGCCAGGGCTAAACTATTTAAGTTTTTAAAATGAAAAGAAAATTGGGTTTTGTAATGATACTGACTAAAGTTCAGTTTCATAAATCAGATTTATGGTAGAGAATTTTAATTGGAGCTTAGCACCCATTTCTGTTGGACTTTTCTCAGCTTCCTTCTAACGGTGGAGAAAAACCAGAGAGGGAGTCCATTATGCTCTGTAATTTTTCCAAACATACCATCAAATGCCAAGCAGAATATATATATATTGGTTCTTAATAATGTGTTTTCTAGCCCAGCAGCTCTGAAAGTACGACCCATGGACCCCTGGCCTCCTCCTGGGCCCTTTAGGGGTCCTGCGAGGTTAGCTCCCTCGTAATCATGAGACATCACTCACTCACGCACTGTGGAGGGTTAACGCAGACAGAACAGAAGCGGTGCTGCCTTACCATGAGTCCATCCAGCGGCACCAGATTGTACCAGCGGTCATTATTCACCACCACACACTGATGTGTTTTCAAAACAGCAGTGTCACGTACTGTAGCGGGTGGCGGGTGGACTGGTAAATAACTCTGTGACAGGTGGATCACGACGGCTTCTCCAAGATTCTGATCTCTCACACGTTTATGTGAGAGAGAAACACGATCGGTTGCCCCTCACACACACGCCCCGACAGAGAATCGAACCCCCAGCCCAGGCAGGTGCCCTGACCAGGAATTGAACCGACGACCTTTCACTTTGTGGGATTACGCCCAACAGGCTGGGCCTCACTAGTCAGAGCTCCAAAACTCTGGTTTCTGCCTGAGATCTAGAATTTTATCACTGCCACAAACAGTCATCCAGTTTTGAGGAAATGTCTGCCAAATAACTAAATTTTTTGTCAGTCTTTTTTTCACGTAAAAAAGGTATTCTTTTGACAAAGAACAAAGTGCCTAATTCAGCAGCTCGCAACTCACTGGCACCAGGGCTTCTCCCTGAGGCGGCCGTCGTGGCCGGGGTGCAGCGGAAGTACTTGCACATTTTTCCCGAAAAGATGTTCTTGAGGGTCAAAATTGGAGAAAATAAACTTTAAACTGCTAAACTGTGTAACTGAAGATAAGACTATTAATGATAGTTTTTTTATGTCTGTGGAAATAAATTGTAATGGGTTGTGACATCTTTGCTGAATTTCTCCCTCCATGTCTGGTTTGTTTGTTCCCCAGCATGAAGACTTTTTGCTTGCTCTGCAGATGAATGAAGAACAGTATCAAAAGGTATTTTGAAAACTCCCCTAATTCATTTATTTTGGTATTTTTCATAGGCTGTTTTCTCTTATCACGTTTCCTCAGGATTTTGATGGCACATTGGTTCCCAGATAAGCGCCTCTCGTTCCACTGGGCTTATAAGCACAGTACAGTCAGATACTGGTGACTTCACTGTTGCCCTTCCTACCAGACTGGGCGGGGGTTGAAGGGACGGTGATGAGGGAAGTCTTCCTGTTAAGGAGGCAGTCCACTGAATGAGCTCTTGGAGGACAATTTAGAACTCAGACATCACTCGGAGTTGACAGCAAAGGTCTCTCTGACCTCAGTGGGTCTGGTACTCCCTCTGTCCCTCACGTGCAGCCTTTGCTGACGTGGTGGGAATTTCAGTTGGCTTCCGTGGTCACCTGCCATAAAGCTTGGGCTGGGACGTGGTTTTCTCACACTGCTCTCCCACAACAAGAGACAGTCCGGCTTTCTTGATAGCATTTTTCATGCCACTTGTCCCTGACTCTTAAAATCATGTTAGCGATATAACCTGATTGCAGGTGGTATAGTTCTGCTGGCACCGTGGAATTCATGAATGTGATAACTTTAAACAAAACATGACAACAAAAAATATCCCCCAAAAGTGAAGATCTCGCTATTGTTAACTACGTGTTATTGTTCGTCCTGGCGTCTCGGGCTCCATTTATACAGCAGACAGCAGCTTGTTGTTTTACAGCTTCCAGGGGTAGCTCTTCACCTCAGGGTGCAGGTGGGGTGGGGGATGTGAGCCTCGATGTCCCCCTGCTCACGTGGGGGCATTTCTCGTGTGTTTGTGGCGGCCTGCAGGACGGCCAGCTGATCGAGTGCCGCTGCTGCTATGGGGAGTTCCCGTTTGAGGAGCTGACACAGTGTGCAGATGCTCACCTGTTCTGCAAGGAGTGTCTCATCAGATACGCCCAGGAGGCCGTCTTCGGGTCTGGAAAGGTAAGCACCGTGGACTGCGCCCACTGGTGGGAAGCACCCGGAGTCTGGGGAGTCCGCGCATGTGGACGAGTGTGACTGTCTTGCACAAGCGCCTGTTCTGGAGCGAGGGGGAACCCCGCTGGAGCACAGTCGTGTGTGTGGTTCCTCGGCAGCCCCCGACCTGTGTGGCCGTGCCGGCTCCAAGCAGGCAGATTTCTCTCCGGGGAGTGGTGCCCTCCATGCCACAGGAGCCTCTGCTGCTGCCCTCAGCTTCCGGTTTGGAAGGAGAATGAAGGTCACTCTCAAAAAAGGAGAATCTTGCAGCCTGTTTGAATGTATGGGAGTGTAAATTAGTATTTTTTAACAGGTTTTTTATATACTTTTAAAGGACTTTATAGTTTTATTAAAATCAGTAACTATATGTGATCATATTTCTCCTTTCAAAGTCAGTTTCTCTTGACAATCGCGTGACAGGACTGAAAGTTTTGTTTTGTCTTAATGAACATTTAAAAACCAAACTTGCTTTTCATAAATACCCACCAGTAATCAATCACTCAACATCAGTTAATCTAAAGGCAGTTGTAGTTCAGTCCAGAACTGAGGAACAGTTGTGAGCAGGGGTTGTGATTGGCACACTGATGCCACACACACCTGCCCCCCCACCGGCGTCTGTCTCCTTATCCCCAGAACCTGTGCCTATAGTACCTTACATGGCAAAGGGGAATTAAGGTTGCTTTTCCCGTCACCTTAAAATAGGGAGATTGTCATGGAATATCCAGGTGAGCGCAGTATCTTTACAAGCATCCTTAAAAATGGACAAGAGCAGCAGAAGAGGTCAGAGGGCTGCAGTGTGAGGCCTCAGCCTGCTGTGCGTGGCTTTAAAAGTGAAGTTCAGAGCCCTCTGGCCACGCTGTTCAGAGCCCATCCTCCTTTCTCATGGGAGAGTGTTGGTCACCCAACTCCATCTGAAGGGGTAGGAGCTGGAGGCTTTATACACAATCCTGGAGTTTGTAGTTTGCAGTCCTGTCGGTTCCCTCCCCTCCTGACCCTCCCCTCTGCCTCCCAGGAAGTCTAGGCTCCGCCTTTCCAGGGGTTTGAGAGGGAACCAGCATGCTGCTCTTGAGGTCTTTTCAGACGCTGGCCATGGCCTTCCCCCTCCACTCCTCTGTGCCCTTCACCCTTCCTCATCCACCCTCCACCCTCATGTACTGTGGTCTGGGGGCATCAGAGCGGGACTTGGTGTTTTGTTTCCAAATTCCCTTGCTGTTCTGAGTGTTTTCTCAGAGGAGAGAGGACAGACAGGTCTTTATCATCTCAGCGCCTGTGTTCTTCACCATAATTCATTTGCTTTAGATGCATTCAACCACTGAGGTCTTTCATTTTCTGAAACCTTGGTTGAAATTTCTTATTTTCCTTTTTGCCCCCTGACCTGGTCATTCTAGTCAGAGCTCAGCTGCATGGAAGGCAGCTGCACGTGCTCGTTCCCCACCAGTGAGCTGGAGAAGGTGCTTCCACAGACCGTCCTGTGTAAGTACTACGAGCGGAAAGCGGAGGAAGAAGTCGCTGCAGCCTACGCGGATGAGCTTGTCAGGTGAGTCCGGAGTCAGAGAGCGTTACCTGTCAACTCGTTCTCCAGCAGGGAGGCTGCCTGGGCCCTTGGATCAGGGGACGGGAATTCTGTAGCGAAGCTGTACCTTCCCAATCTTGGCATTTCTTGCTGAGCAGTAAAAGAACTGATCATGGAAAAGTCTGCAGTTCAGATTTTTACCTATATTCCTTAGCATCTTACCATCTGGCTTATAGGTACAAGCATTGTACACTGGGTTGGAGGAAAGGTGACATGTGGGAGGAGTTCTCAGAAAGGTGTGCTTATTGCATGGTTTGCACTGAAATGGGACCCAGATGGCAATGGCACCTGCATTTCCTGGAAAGAGCCAGCACAAAGGAGAACCTCAGTGATGTTTTAATGAACAGACAGGAGTAAAAGGGCTGTGGCCATCCAGATGAGAACTCCATCGTAGCGTGAACGTTAGTTATGTGGAACCACACCCGGCTTTCCTGTTTGGAGTAACATGCCTTCTGCTCTTTTGACTGTAGGTGCCCCTCCTGTAGCTTTCCTGCTCTGCTGGACAGCGATGTGAAGAGGTTCAGTTGTCCCAATCCTCGCTGCCGTAAGGTCAGGAGGCAAGCTTTTCCTACATTTATATTTGAATTATGGTATTATGAGCTACTGTAATGGCGCAGACATCTCCTGGTTATCTGCATGCTGACCAGTGAGAAGGGTTTGAGTGCTCCCCTTTTCAGGAAAGCAGATGAAGATCAGTGTTTGGTGAATAGTGGTTGACATGGTAACAGAGACGGGGCCGGTCGTAGAATTGCGGCCACAAAGCTCTGCATCTCTGTGCCACGCCGGCTTCCCATAAGGGCGTTGTTGTGTGAAGTGTGATGAGTTTTGTGTTTCTTCTGCAGTACCAGCATTAGTCTTGGTTTCTGTTTTTACCACCCTGTTGTTCTCAGTTTCGTAGCCTGCCATTTTCAAAGTCCTAACCTCATTGCTTTGATTAAGGGACTGGGCACCATGGTGGCATCTGTCACGTCTGGTAGATCATTCACTTAACTGTTCTCAAGAAACGTGATTGTGTTTGGTGAGACTGACGCCATCCAGTCGCCTCACTGTTCAAAATCTTTCTTCTCTTTAGACGACTGTCCTGTGAATTGAGAATGTCTGAAATTTGTCAGCTATTTATAAGCCACTTAAGAGTTTTTAATGAATATTGGTATCCACTTAAACGATACCTATTTTTTTTAAGATTTTATTTATTTTGCTCTGGCTGGTGTAGCTCAGTGGATTGAGCACAGGCCTGCGAACCAGAGGATTGCGGTTTGACTCCCAGTCAGGGCACATGCCTGAGTTGCAGGCCGGTTCCCAGCAGGGGACGCATGAGAGACAACCATACATTGGTGTTTCTCTCCTTCTCTCCTTCCCTTCCCTTCTAAAGATAAATAAATAAAATCTTTAAAAATATATTTATTTTTAGAGAGAAGGCAAGGAAGGGAGAAAGAGAGGGAGAGAAACATCAATGTGCGAGAGATACATCAATGATGTGCGAGATACATTGATTGGTTACCTCTCGCACACCCCCAACTGGGGACCCGGCCTGCACCCCAGGCATGTTCTCTGACTGAGAATCGAACCGGCGACCTTTGGGTTCACAAGCGAGCACTCAATCCACTGAGCTACACCAGCTGGGTTAGATAAGTATCTTTTAAGCAATTTTTCTAAAATACAATAGCATGATCAGAATTGAAAATTATATCTCTTCCTTGAAATGAAAGTAGATATTGGAAAAGGAAGAAACTAAACTAATGGACTTTTTTGTTTTCAACGTTAACGTTTCTGTGTAAAATATGAGTGTATTCTTATAACTGATGTGTTCGTTTAATTTGTCCTCACCTCAGGCTGTTGCTATAACAATTGTTCCAAGAGTCTCTGGCGTCTCAGAACTAAGCACACGGGGTGACTGACAGGCCTGAGATGCAGAGAGCAAGGAGACAGTGGCCAAGGGAAGGAAGGGGTCGGAGTGAAGTGACAGCGAAGGTGTTGGAAAGTTCTGGGCCCAAGGAGCAGTAGCATCCTGGACACTGTGCTGGTTCATGAACTCGGGGGGGCCAGGGTCACGTGGCCTTGAAACCATTCTGAGGCAGAGGGGTGAGGGGGCGAAATATCAGGGAGATCTGTTTGGCTGTTGTGTGCTCCAGGTGAGAGACATGTACCAGCCCATCTGGAGTCTCCCCGAATTGGCAAGATGGTACTGGGAAATACATTTTCAGGTGTGATTCCAACTCTCTAATAAAAGTGCTCGTTTACGACTTAGAAAGCCAATGAGAAGGAGAGGCCATTATTCTCCAAAGGCCGTTGCAAGTAGTCACAAGGGTGCACAGTGAGTCTGAAACAGCACCCATGAGTGTCAAGAACACCCACCCTGGGATGCCTGTGAAAGCCTCCCAGAGGTTCCGAAGATCCTAGGCAGGAACACCTAATACTCTGCTTCACGAACTCTGTGGGAGAAGTACAGATGCCACGTTGAACTTGGAGGTGACATGTAGCTTCTTTTGGCTAATGAAATGTGAGTGTGGGTGAAATAGGTCACTTACATAAAAAAGTGGTAAAAGCATATGCTTTAGAGTAATATCAGCAGGATGGTGGGATAGGCAGTCTCAGACCCTTCTTCCCCAGAAGTAACCTGTGTTCATCAACACACAGACCAGTTCCCTTGGCAAGAAATCTAGGAACCAGGTAAGAGGCTCTTGTACCGCAAACAATGGAAAGCCAGCTGCAGTGAAGCCTGGAGGAAAACCTTGGGACTCACCCCACAGCCCTCCCACAGCTCATTTGAGAGGAAATGCCTAACCCCCAGCTTCTCCCTGGGAAGGGAGTGAGAAGAGTGGAAAGTACACCTGACTTTCTCAGAGGGCCACCCCCGGGGCTGGCTCCTCTCTTCCCTGACTAAGCCCTGACAAGGAAGGACCCAGGTTGGCCCCTGAGAAGAAAGGCAGTAGTTTGAACTGGCATACACTCACTCAGCATTGCTTCTCTTCTGCTTAGTGTGGGAGAAAACTCCCAAGTCCTGGCTTCTCCATAAGCAGGGAAAGTGTTGGAGTGTGTGTCCAACATTCCAGCTATTGGAGGGCTGTGCAAGGGCCTGATCTCTGTCTTACCTGGCCCCAAAGACTGACAGGCCTCTGAGAACAAAGAAGAGCTGGACATCTTACAGCAGCTCCAGAGAACCTGCACTACTGTAGACAGACACCAGAGGGAGCAAGAGATTTTAAGCTGCTGAAAAAAAGAAAGTAGCAGCACCTCTCTAATTGGGAATTTACAGAGTCCGAAGAAGACTTGTCCACTGAAAAGGCTTCAGGGGCTCTCCACATTGAAGCCAGGCTGGTTGGTGAAGACCTTTCCCTGAACAAAGTCTATGAGAGTACGAAAGGTGACTTTTTTCAAATGTGGATTCCAACACAGAGTAACCAGGCACAAGAAGAAATATGGTCCAACAACAACAACAAAAATCTTTAGAAACTTACCCCGAAGATAATGGAGATACATGATTACCTGGCAGAAATTTCAGAACCATCATGCAGGTGCACAGTGAGCTCAGGAAAATGGTGTATGAGGTGATGAGAATGAGAATGTGAAAATACCAGCAAAGGGGAAATATTTTACTCATTTATTTATCTTTTACCTCACCCAGGGACACGTTTATTGATTTTAGAAGGGAAGGGAAGGAGAGAGGGAGAGAAACATCCATGTGAGAGAGAAACAGCAATTGGTTGCCGCCTTTCACATGCTCCCTGACTTGGGACTGAACCTGCAGTTTAGGTATGTGCCCTGACTGGGAATTGAACCTGCAGCCGTTCAGTTCACAGGACGATGCTCCAACCAATTGAGCCACACCAGCCAGGATGAGAAAACATTTTAAAGAATCAAACAAAATCTGGGGCTGAAGAATATAATCAGTGATTGAAAATTTCACTAGGAGGGTTTAACCAACTGATTTAAGCCTGAGAAAGAACCAGCAAACACGGGTCGTTTGAAATTAATGAGTGAACCAAAAAGAAAAAAGAACGAAGAGTAAAGAAAGCTTAAGGAACATATGGGACACCATCCAGCAGGCCACTGCATGTATTTTGAATATCCCAGAAGGAGAGGGGAGAGAGAGAGAGAGAGGGGCAGAAAGCATGTTTGAAAAACTAATGGTCAGACTTCCAAAGTCTGGTGAAGGAAGTAGACATCCAGATTTAAGAAGCCAGATGCACCTCAGTTAGGAGGAATGAGACATTTTACAATCTAATTGTCAGAAGTCAGAGACAGAGGATTTTTATTTAAGATTTTGTTTATTTTTAGAGGGAGGGGAAGGAAGGGAGAAAGGAAGGAGAAGACACATCACTGTGTGGTTGCCTCTCATGTGACCCCCACTGAAGACCTGGCTTACAACCCAGGCACATGCCATGACTGGGAATCGAACTAGCAACCTTTGAGTTTGCAGCCCGCAGTCAATCCACTGAGCTACACCAGCCAGGGTGAGAATTTTTAAAACAGCAAGAGAAGAGCAAATTGTCATATATACTGCAGCTCCCAAAAGCTTCTCAGTAAATTTTTCATCAGAAACCTTGCAGGACAAAAGAGAGTAATACTGTAATTCAAGTGCTGAAAGAATAAAAGAAAAAACACAAAAGTTCCTAAAGATATAAAGCTCATAGGTAAAGGTAAATATACAGGCAAACAGAATAGTGTAATGTGTGTATATGACATCACTTTTAACTCTGGCATAGAATTTTAAAAATCAAGAGTATTTATAAAATACTTTTTAAAAAAATATTTTTTTTATTTATTTTTCGAGAGAGGGGAAGGGAAGGAGAAAGAGTAGGAGAGAATGTCAAGGTGTGGTTGCCTCTCATGCGTCCCCTGCTGGGAACTAGCCTGCAACCCAGGCATGTGCCCTGACTGGGAATGGAACCGCTATACTCTGGTTCGCAGGTCCGCGCTCAATCCACTGAGCTACGCCAGGTAGGGCTATAAAATACTTTTTGTAGTACACAATATAAAAGATGTTATTTGTGATGTTAACATAGAGAGGATCAAAGTAGTTTTTGTATATGATAGAACTAGTCAGTTTAACATACGATGTTACAAATCCATGCAAGGGAAAGTGAGAAGGGAATCACAGCGTCGTTACAAAAAATCTGCAGCTTGGAGACAGCAAGGGACAGGAAACTGCAGGACAAAACAGAATGGCAGTAGTAAGTTCCTCCCTATCCGTACTAACTTAACTATGAATGGATTGATTTCCCCATTCAAAAGACGTAGAGTGGCTGAATGGGTATTTTTTAAAGAGGAAACAACAAGATCCAATTATGCACTGTCTACAAAAGACTCGTATTTAATGACACACACAGACTGAAAGTGAGAGAATGGAAAAAGGTAACATTGTACTCTGTGGTGAAAAACTAATAATTTCTCTGCTAAGATTAGTAGAAAGGCAAGGATGTCCACTTACCACTTCTATTTTACATATTACTGGAAGTTCTACTAGAGCAATAAGCCATAAAAAATAAATAAAAGGCATCCAGGTTAGAAAGGAAGAGGTAAAATTACCTCTGCTTGCAGATGACATG